TCTTCCTTTTGTTTTGGTCGCAGTATTCCCATTTCCTCCTCCGTCATCAATGTAAATGTTCCGCGACTACTTTCAGGAGAAATCAGAGAAATACGAAGCCATGAGCTCTTACTTTTGCTCCCACCGTGATCATTCAAAGAGGCTGTCATTGTGGAAGCAGCAGTGTGGTTCGCTAACATGGCCGCCAACACTGGCCTAAAAGGACTATATTGTGCCACTGCAGTAAGCTGCTGCAAAATAAGACGTCGTGCCGACAGACCACTCGACATGCGTCTCAAACTGTGAGTATTTTGCCTGTAATAAAATGCCTGCGAGTGTGAATTCTCTCTGATTCCTCCCGTACTTACAGAAAACAGAAGAAAATAAATAAATAAATAAATAAAAACCGGTATAATAATAATAATGGGGATGATTGCAAGTCCAAAAAAAAAAACAACGCCAGATCCAGTCATTTTAATCAAACGCCCTCTAGTTCTCTTCTAGCCGCTCGGAGACTACACACGTAATGCAATTACCCTTCCCTCCATCCTTCTCTCTAATATAAATATGAATACATGCATGAATATATATATATATATATGTCACTCTACGCAAATGTAGGTGTCGTTTCAGGCAGCTACGCTTTTGTCGGTATATTACGTCATCTGTAAGAAACGTGCGCGGGCGGCATTTTCGTTTTTCAGCATATCCTGCACCTCTAGTGCGTGTTGCACAGCATCCACAAGGTCAATGTAAAACCGAGGCAAACGTAACTGAGAAAATTTTGTACCCTGGTACTCACCGGCCTTTTGGCCACCTTTACACACGCCGGCGGTTCCATCCGCCATTGCCAAAATGGTAGATTCCGCAATCGTAACTGGAGTGTACGCGGGAAATCGTTGATGCATTGACGCCACATTCGCTGCATTTTCCAGGAATAAGCCTGCAGGCGTTGTTGCTTCTGTTCTCATTGTGGCAGCCTGGGATGGTGTTCGAGCCTCTCGTATTGGAAATTCAAAACCAACGCCAGTCCGCTGTGTTGCGGCTGTGTTGAATTCCTCCTTCCTCGTGGCGTCCTCTAATTCGTGTTGTCTGAGTGCATACATTTTATAACGCAATGCCTCAAGGTCCATTGGCTCCGGTGGAACACCACTAATCTGTGACAGTTTCCCACTCATCAGGAACGCGACTGCAAGATCACCGCAGTCCATGTGGTGTGTCTTCCTGCCGTAGGGAAAACCACCCGGAAACGATAAGCCGTGGGGCACCCGTGATTGAGCGTCAGCATGGGGCTCTGGAGTCGGGTCATGTAAAAGGCGGCTAACCATTTTACTTTTGGATTCAATCAACTGACTTCTGTGGCTGTCGTCCGCTTCACGCTTCATAAATGCATTTTCATTTTGTATGGGCGGCAAAACATGCACCACCTCCACCTTCCCAAAGCGGTCCACAATGGATTTTTCTGCAAGAATAGAGCGTACAATGACACTACGTTCTTCCCAGCCCACGTGTTTGCCTTGACCGTCCTTCTCGTGTGCGTGCCGACCCTCCAAGATGAAATTATTGATCCTTGTGGAACGCGACAATTTCGTTTGTGATGGAGGTGAGGCTGCATTTGTGTCACGTTGGCGGCCTGAAGGTAAACAGAAGAAAAGCTCCACGCAGTGTTCCTTCCCTACGACAAAGCTGTTTTTCCTGAGTGGGTTGATGCGAAGCAGTGTAGGAAACCCACCAAGCGCTCGCAGGTACAGCAATGATGCAAATAACACTTTACCAGGATGCGACAACTCCACAAACTGAGGATTTTTCTCGGTTGCTTGCATTAGGGAGACCCATGAATTATCCAGGAGGGACAACGATGCCTGCAGAGTGGATTTCCGTTGAAGTGGCGATGAAGGAGCTTTGTGAGACACCAAGAACTCACTATCAAGTAGCTGCTGCGGCTCTTTAAGAAGAGCTGAACAAGCCGCCAACGAGTTGGTAAATCCTCCAATATCACTTAACTCCGGCTGCGCCGTGGATTCCTGAAGGGCATCCATATGATGATGACGATGATGATGAAGTTCGTGAATTTTTTGTAAAGAATGAAAAAGATTATGATAATCATCATCATTTGACACGTGCAATTTCTTCTTTTCGGTATTATCCGTGTCAGAGATGAACTTTCTTTCAGACCTTCCTACCTCCTGCAGAGGACGCATCCATTCTCCCTTTCGATTTTCATCCTCAACAAACGGATGGGTAACGTGCCAATACTCGCACTTTGCTCCATCTTTTTCTTGCGACTTTCTTTCTAAGGGCATCGTGCCATTTGGAAGTACAACATTAGAGGGTGGTGCATTCCATGCGTGTAAGGAAAGAAACGAAAAACCTTTGATTCTCACGGTCTTGGGCAAAGCACCCAAGTCACCACCTGTTCGAGACTGAGACAAGGAGCATGAGTATTGAGCATCCCTGTAGGCATTCCCCTCTCCCGTACGGTCCCAAGTAGAATTTAAAGCCGTCAATGAAAGCTGTGGCGAGAAAAGTTTTGACGATGAATCAGCTCCTCTTGCGGGAAGAGGAGCCATATCCTCCGCATACAGTTGCCGTACTATTTGACGTGGAAGCGGCGTTAGCGCCGGTGCCACATTTCCAGACATTTTTTTCCGCTTCGTCTTCGTCACGGAAGTAGTAGGTTGCCAAGAATCGTCTTCACGCAGTGTGATGCTCTCAATAAAGCTCCTCCTCCGTCTTCCGTGGGCAACATCTCCCGCCTTAAATGACACCTCTCGGGATCTCGAGGCAAACAGCGATTCCCCACCAGCAATAGAAGACGTTGTGGTCGTCATGTTCATCGTCCCATGCGAAACGCTGCGTTGCTGTTGTTGTTTTTTTGGTGTGGGTACACCTGGCGCAACGGGTTTCTTCACTGCTTGCGGGCCACGTAAAGGGCGTGCGTTGTGTGGTGCGCTGCCGTGCGACCCCATGGCTGGTCTGTCTTTATTTGTCATGAGCGATTTTCTTGGCGGGTGTGGTACCGGCCTGCCTTTCATTAGCAAATTTTGTGCCGCAAACGCGGAATGTGTCGTTCCTATCGCGTGCTGGATTGTGGTTTTACGCAACAAGAGGTTCTTCGACCCGCGGCTTTTCCCACCGGGTTTCAGCAGCGCCTTACCCACAGCGTCTGCAGGATTCGGCCGGTGTTTCACAACAGCAGCTGCTGCTTCAGTCGAGAAGATAAAAGGTTTGGTGCTTTCAGCACACATTTCGTCCTCCCCGACTTCCAAATTGGCATTCACGGAGCCGGAGCTCCGACGAGAAACTCGTGAAGGCGCCGTGAAGCCCGTTTCGGTCCCCAGCAGGAGCAACGAAGGATCCTTCGCAAACATCACGCACCACACAGTCGAAACTGCCGCCTCTCGGATTTTAATGCAATAATATATATATATATATATATATATATATTTGTCTATTAAGAAGTTTATATTCCTTGCGTACGTGTGTGTGTTTTCCCTTTCCAGTGACGCCTCCTTTCTCCGCGTCTTGCCACTGAAAGAAGAAATAGCGGCGGGAGAGAGCAACAACAACAAAAGATAACCACTGAAAGAGGCATACGGCGTGGTCGTCTACTCTTCTCACAATAAATTCGGTCAAAAAAGTAAAGGCAAGACAAGTTAAAGAGGAAACGATAAGTGAGTGTGTGGGTAGATGGAGAGTGTACATGCACAAGAAACACCAGGCTGTATTTTTTTTTTTTCTTTTCGTGCCTGGGGCTCCTTTTTTGTGGCTGTGTTTTCTTGTGTATCCTTCTTGCTTTCTTTGTTCCTGCCGCCCCCATCATCATCATCATCATCGTCCTTCTCTCCGTTATTAATGTTTTGCTTCTGTACATCTTCCACGGTCCATCAAAGAAGAAAAAAAAAAAAAGGCACGGCTAAGCTACATGACGCCCTTTTGCCAACAGTGAGCTGTCGATGCAGATACCATTGGGAAGGACCTCTAATCACTGTCGTTCTTCCGCGGCGTGGTGCCACGGACGTGAACGTGAAATCCCTTCAGCGCAAAACGCTTTTCCGCGGCAGGCCCTGTGAATGTTGGAACATCAGGGGAGACTCCTTCCTTTGCGACATAAATGACATTGTCACACATGGCAGCAGAGCTGACGTCCCCTTCCAGACGGACGCTGCCATCAAAGGCATTTCCACGCAATATGGGATGCTGAGTGGGTATCGGCACCCGAGAAAGAGCTCTTGCTTCAGTGTCTTCCTCCTCCTCCTCTTCCTCCTCTTCTTGTTCTTCTTCCTCCTTTGCCTCAGCATCCTGGGAAGCATCGTGGATAATGTCCATTAGGAGAGAGGGATCAGGCGGTAATGGCGGCACAGGACCCTTCACGAGAAGACACTCCCGACCACACCATCGAACAGCGGAGCACTTAACCTTTGCCGCACCGTCCTCACCCGAAAACAAAATTCCGACGGAGCTAATGCTCTCTACGCGTGAAGCAATCACGGAAGTGCCATGGCAGCCATTGACAAGCAAAATTCCCACGTGGCTTTGCGCCACAAAAACATCTTGAATAGATACATCGGCGTCATCCAGGTACACGCCCACAGCGCAAAGTGTCTTTTCAGGTATCTTTGCCTGCTGCAACGGACGTCTTGAACGAGAGACAGATTGTGAAGAAGTATTCTTTTGTGCGTGACGCGCGGCGCGAGACCAAAAATCTTGCGTTTCATGGACAATACCAAATTGAGGGCCGATAATCATGGAGCTGTGAAAGCGGAGTGCACACCGTGGAAAGGCGTATATTCCATGTTTTTGATTTCCGTAAATCACACAAAATTCAACCTGTACTTCTGTCAGGGGATGTGCAGTCACGGTGGTCTCCAACAAGGGGGACGGCAATGGAACATCACTGTCTTGCGTTTTGTTTGCTTTTTCCTCCACCTCGGATCGACCAAACACACAGTGACGCACGGTGGCTCGACTAAGCGGCTCAAACACTGCTCCCTCAAGAAAAGAAAATCCCTGCAATTCCAGGCGAGAGCGCTTCACAGTCTCCTTTTGAGTTTCGTTTTCTTCCTCTTCCTCCTCGGCTTCCTTCTCCTGTTCTTCGTCTTCCTCGTCGTCCTCGCGTGGGTCATATTGTTTGATGGGGTACACCGTCTTGCGCTCACCCTGCGGAGTAAAAGGAGCTGTGCTACGCAGTATCAATTTCCCCTCAAATACAGGGAATTGTGTGGCATCTGTCGTGGTGGGGGTAACCGCGTCCGTCTTGGGTGCGTCACTCCCAAATGGTGCATACCAGGGACCGAGACGACGTTCATCTTTGGGAATTCGTATTTTTTTCCGATATCCCCCCTTTGGACCCATCGCCAAAGGCACACTCATCACACTTAAGCCGTCTAACCTTGATTCGTCCATACAGACCTCCTTCTCTGCATACAGACCGGGGTATACAAGGACAATATCATCGCGGTACTTCACAACGTTGAGGGCATCCTGAAGTCTTTTTATGGTACTGAACCCGCCCACGTAAAATGTGCTGGGACCATCTTGAAGCTCATCAATGTCGTTTAGCTCGGTCCATTCTTCCAGCTCCTCCTCTTCCTCCTCTTCTTCTTCCTCCTCTTCTTCCTCCTCCTCCTCCTCCTCCTCCTCTTCACGCAGGAGTTTATCGTCCTTTGGCCGAGCCATCCAATTCTTTTCCCACTCCTTTCCGCTCTTTTTTGTTTGTTGTTGTTGTTGCTTCCCTCCCCCCTTTCTTGTGTAAAAAAGAAACTGAAAAAAAAAAAAAATAGGTTGACGGTAAAGAAAAGTGGGGAATCACATTTATCAATTCCACCTAATTGTGAATGCAAGACACACTCGCACGCTCATATGCGTCGACCATGATGGCAATGGCTCATTATTAAAGGGAAAGCTTTGCGAGAAGGATTTAAAATTGTAATAAATACTGACACACACACACAAAGACAGACAGACAGACAGACAGACAGACACATCAAAAAAAAAAAAAAAAGACACATATTTAAAATGGATCGGCATCAGAACGACGTGTATTCAAAATTAATGTATTCTCGCAATCGTAAAAGAAGCGGCAATCAATAAACACAGGCATGTATGTTACCAAACCAAAGAAAAAAAAAAAAGGTTGTGACTAATCAAAAATAATCAAAAACTCATCCATGAAATTCTCCAAAGCCCTAACAGTCTTGTTCATGTTGACAGCTACAGAAAGAGTACATCCTGGCAATTTCATGGTTGGCTACCTCACCGTGGTAGCCAACGTCCATCACCGAAGGACGCGGGTGGGATTCTTCGGGAAGCCAAAAGTCAATCATTCCGCAGTGTTCCGGATCTCGGCCCGTACGGCACCATGATGTGCTCGCTGCCGTGCTGCCAACGCATATTTGTGCGCCCCGCAATGCCAGTGGCATTTTTGCAGGGGGTAACGTGCCTGACCCGGAGACGGCGGCGAAAAATACATGCGGAAGTTGGCACCGCGCGTATCAGGGTCAATTGCCCCGTATTGTCGGGGTAATCCAGCAGTCAGCGCTGCGTCCATCACGGGGTCGTAATTGTTGGCGCGGGTCTGACGGCATCAACCAGCGCCCGGACCAGCCGTGTCGTGCTGGGAAACGGTCCAACACCATGGAGTCTGAGAGCACGTCTTGCCACAATGTGGACCATCGGATTTATTTGAGGAAACACGACAGCAAGCAAAAAATATCGTGCACACGTCCTTTGAGACTGAGACGGGTTGGTACGGAGTGAGCAATTTTTTTCTAATTTTGTGTGAGCAATTCGCATAGTCGAAGAGAATATGGCGTTCAAAACAATTTCACCGCCGCAGAAATCGTGGAAAAACGGGCCATAAAATGCACAGAGAGAAGATGTGAGATGTGGTGGGTTGTTTGCCAACAATTTCATATTTCTTCTACTACAACGGCCTATAGCGGATGGTGGCAAGGAAAAGCCCCCTCAATATATATATGTATACATGAACAAATAAATAGATGGAAAAAATAAAATTATCCTCCCCCCCCCCCAGAGAGAGAGAGGCCATCTTTATGCAATGCATACGCAAGAACGTGTATCAAAAGGAAATGTTGGGATATAAAGATTGCAACAATACGAAAGGCGTCCATAACTTATGAGAAAGGTCATTTTCCTCGTCTCGGTGTATTGACAGCCTATATTCATCTCTTTATATATATATATATTATTTGCAGGACGCACACCCTTTTTTTCCCCACATCTTCTCACTTCTTGTCACGTGAGACATAATATGAGAACGGTACCCCCGCCATAGGGGCTTTTAGTCGTCTTTTTTGCAGAGAAAATGGTAAATCATCATCATTATCATCATCTCGCGTAATACCTCCGCCTTCGCTACCTGAATGAATTCCTTGGCCGCTCAATCTCCCTCGTTTCAGCCTCTGACTGTATTTTTCCAGCTGCTGATCAAGATCGCGTTGTTGCCGCAGTAGTCTGGCAAGCTCTAATGTCAGTTGGTCCATCGATGTATGTGTCTTGAGTGCCACATCGCGAAGTTCCTTAAGACGGTCCAATCCCACCGTTCCCTGCCGCGTCAATACGTCATACCGAAGCCGGGCGTCACTCGCCGACTGTTCCAGCGAAATGCACTGCTCTTCTAATTGATCCCTGCTGTTCGTAAGGAAATGCTCACGACTCCGTAAATTTCGACGTCGCCGCTTCAACTCGTCTAGTTCATGTTGAATATGACGCCTGTAAACATCGGCCGGCGCCACAGAACCCTCACCTGTAAATTGCACGTTGTCACCTCCATCTTCATCGGTCCTACTAATGTCACACGCGTTAACCTCGCCATCCACCGCCATTCCACGTTGAAAAACTGTTGGACGTGAGAGGGGGAGAAACAGTACACAGTCCTCCGGGCTTTTTATTGCCTCACGGCAAATAGGGCACGTGGGATGGTTGCTGTACTCATGCAGTTGAATGGCACATAAGAAGTGAAGCAGGTGTCCACACGGCAACACAACAATTCCATGATCGGCCCCGCATGGTGTAACTCCGCAGCCTACCTCACGACTGGTGCGATGACGGCTGCCATTTTTCTTCGCGGCACGGTGGTACATGTCGAGTGCGTTGATAAAAGTCATGAAATCGTCTGTGTCGTCTTGCCGTGATACGCCGGGCGCAAACGTAATACGAAATTCCTCCTCCCCTGAAGACACCTCCCCGAGTTGTGGCGCCGGTGATACACGTGGGGGACTCGGCAACTTCTTTTCCGGTGAGATGGCATTTGATGGCGATGCCGACGAGCCCGTGCCGGGAATGAGCGCCTGGAGGCAAATGGAGCACTCCGCATGCCGCATGGCATCAAAAAGAAACATGACTTTGCCACAAAGGAAAAAAAATAATAAAAAAGGAACAACGCACACGACAACACCAACAAAAATAACCACAAAAAACAGCGAAGCAACAGAAAAATCCTTCAATAGTGACACCAACAGTCATTAAAATAATAATAATAACAAAAACAAAGACGTCTTACACGTATGTCTGAGGAATGGGGGACCCAAGAGAAAATAGTTGGTGCACTCATGAATGAGGGAGGAGTCGACAAGTATGCAGCTGCAGCTGTGGCCGTAACGGAAAGTTTACTCATACGACCATGAGGGTGGAGGGGCTAAAAAAACAACAGACTTCCCTTGTCTCCGTACAAATTCGTCCGGATACCGTTTTAAATCCTCTAAACTGCAGCACACATTTAATGCCTCCTCACTCTCATCATCCACCACAGGCTCCTGTTCGCGTTTTTCCAAATCCGCTTTCTTATCGTCTGTGTCTTCCACTCCTTGATCCGTTCCATTAGCGATGCTACCTGGGTCCCTGGTAAGCAGTAAAGAATGATCCATTTCATACCGCCATGCATGCAGGGCAATCGCAGAGCCATTTGGACATTTGAAACACGCCACAGGAAGGCGACCTGAGCACTCCCAACAAAGGGCATCATGTGTATAAAACATCTCACGGCAAACTTTTGGTAACTCCTCCACATGGAAGTATATTCTGATTTCCATTTCTTCTTCATTTTCCTTGGCACTCTGTGCACCAGAATTCTTGCATTTTGAAAGCGCCGGTTCGTGAAAACCGCTTTTCTGCTGTTCCATCACGTTACATTTTAAGTCCCCAATGATCGGGTGTCCCCAATCGCTAAGATGCATACGAATTTGATGCATACGGCCAGAAAAGGGGACACAATGCACCAAGGACTCACCCTCACTTGCTTGCCCACTACCAGAAGTAAAGTAGCGCAGTGGCTGACAGAACGTCGCCGCATCCTGATAAAAAGGTTCACGCTGTTGTTTTCCCTCTTGATCCCGCGCTGGTGGCTCCTCTGTGGTGTCCCCGTCACGAAATTTGAATTGCATCAGCCGTGAGGCAAGTAACACGGGCGGGCCAACTACACCCAAAGCCTCTTCATTAACCGCATCACATCGTCTAATAGTGGGGTTGGTGGGGATGGTAATAAAAAAAACTTTCTCTGTCGTACGGTGATCGTCATCCCCACCATTCTCTTTCCTCACCCTGCATGAGTGGAGTGCATGTGACGCATCATTGGGGAAGTAACCGTGAACACGGGCCAAGTAGCGCTTTCTCACACCAACGTCAAATTCCCTCAGAGTTCTCTCCTCAATGGACTGCACACCTCCCACGCGTGTAGTTTTTTTATCGTCCGAAGCAATCAGGCGCAACTTCCACAAGAATACCTCCTCCATCTGTTTCGTTTTTCGCGTTAGCGCCTCTCCAACGCGCCGTGTGGCTGCCTGAGAAACACCAAGAAGCAAAACACCAGAAGTTACCTTGTCTAGACGATAACAGGGGCGTGGCAGACGCTCGATGGAGACATATTCCGCCATACTGCCCTCGTCTTTCACCATGTAATAGGCCAAGAGCTCCTGACACTCCGCCTCCGTCAAATACCGTGTAGACACAATCGACTGTAACATGGGGTCCCTCTGCAGAAGCCATGCACGCAGACGTTTCGGTGCCAAAACGTACTCCAGCATTGTTGTACACGAGTTCATAAAATATCGCCCGCCTGCGTGGGTGGGAACTCCAGCCGGCTTGTGTATAACAAGAAGTCCATACATCGTTATGCGTACTGCCGCAAGAACTATCGGATCAATTCCTGTAGTGCCCATACAAAGGGGGATCTCATGTCGATGCACCGTGTGAAGAACAACATCACCCGACTCCAAGATCACCGGTCCTGAAATGTCTTCATTGACTTCCCTCTCATCAGGTTGATCAACTCCGTACAATCGTTTCATGCAATTTCTTCGCACGTTGTGGTGTTTCCGTGGTTGCCGTCGAAGACGACCCTGTCGCATGCATGCCTCATAGTACTGGCGGGAGTGATGTGCGTGCTCCTCACTATAAATGTCCAAAAGATTCTTCCCGACCCAACGCCCCTTCACAAAGACACGAAAAGTGTAATAATACGGCACCACGTGACGGCGCACACATTGTGAGGGGTCTGTACGCACGGTGTACCACGGGAAACCCGGAATCAGTGGAGTGCCATAAAGCTGCCGTTTGGTGTCAGATGCCCACGCCTCTGACTCAAGCTGCAGAAGCCATGCAACCTCCATGCGCCTTCACAATCTCCCCTCCCCCATCCCAAAATAAAATAAAATGAAATAAAATCCAACCGGACAAAAAAATGTCACGTCACGTATCAATTCCACCAAAAACAGCAGATGGTACAAAGTTATATAACTTTTCATGAGCAAATTAGTTGTTTTCGTTTTTACTCAGCGAAGATGAGAGTGTGAGCGCACATCTGCAGGTACACAGAGAAGAAAAACAAAAAGAAAAAAAAAAGTTAAGCAACACAGCTTTCCACTCTGCAATAATAAAATAAAAATAATTCTCAGCGACTACATTACCGACCGAGCGTGGCGGCGGTCTGCCCCTTCACTGCCTTCATGGCGTTTCGTACCGCCGACGGGGGCGGAATCGGTTCCTGCAGGAGATGCAACTTCACCAACAGTGACATCAAACAGTCAAAGTAGGCCTTGTGATGAACATGGTCCAGTGCAAACAAAATATCACGCACATCCTCTAAGAGATGAGGATAAGACGTTGAAGTGGGAAAGGAGTTGACCGACGCTTGCAGAAAAGCAACCGTGTAGTCGGTCACAGCTTTCCAGAAACGATCATCGGTGTAACGCCGCGCGGCGAGAGCACTGCACACTATTCCCACGGTCTCTAACAGCTTCGTACCAGTAGCATCGCTACCAACACTCCCAGACTCCAACTCGCGCTGCTTCTCCAAGTCCTTACGCTCCTTCAGGGAAAGAAGTCGCAGCTGTGCCTGACGAATGGATGTACCAGCAGGTTTCATCCCTTTTGACTCAAATCGTTGCATGGACTCCCGCATCCGCACCTCCAACGCGCGGGCGACAGCATGCAGATGCGATAAGACTGTGTAGCACGTCATGATTGGTCTCAAATCTCCGCTGCTGGGGCAATCAACCGCCGTAGCGGTGGTCGACGAAAAATTATCTTTGTCGCCATTGGGGTCATCGAAATCCGCGCTGCGAGCAACGGCGATGGCAAGTGCTCCAAGCCGATGGTTCTCCAATTGTTCGCATGCGCCCAGTGCGGGGAGAAGCAGACGGTACAGAGATGGCAAGAGCGTTACCGGCGGACCAATTGACAACACCGCAGCACTTGCATCGGCCAGTAGTAAAGCCTGCTGCAGCTCTTCCGGTGTAAGCCGTACACCCATCTGGCCCACGCGTTCACCATCACGAGAGGAAGAGGACACAGCGTTCAGCACAATATCTTTTCTACTGTTTTCATTCTTTGCATGGGTGGTCTCCGTCAGGCGATCATGCACCGCGTAAAGGGTGTGTGTCAAACGCTCTTGAGCCAGATAAAAAACTACAACACGAAGCTCCGCAAGGACAGAAACAAGCATTGCGCTCCCCTCTGTACTTGCGTCGTCTTTCGCGGTTGGAAAAGACAGCTGTAATCGTGTCTCCCCTAACTGCACCGCCGTACACAATGCTTGCAGAAAAACTGGAAGACATTGTAAGTCACGCGGGACACGCTCCATGATGTTGCTTTCCTTCTCCTGCTTACCAGTCTCATTCTGCTCGTCATGCACGAGAAGCTCGTTCTCCAACAGCGAAGGAAGAGCATCCGCTGCTGCCTGCGGGAAGTGCATTCGCCATAGCCGACAAAATCGCCACCATGACTCCACGTCATCTGCCTTCTCGGCCAATTCTTGAATGCTCTCAACGAGGCACTGCCAAACAGGCACCGATGTGGAGGTGTTGAGGAGTCTTAACGGTGTCCCCTCACTCAACCTTACACTAATTCCGTACTGCGCGCGAAACAGACATGTATGCCGTACAACATTCTGTGACTGTCTCCTGAATCCCGGCGATAAAAGAAAAAGACATGTACGCCTCCACATTCACCACAGTAAAAAATTAAAAGGGACCAAAACAATAACCTTCTCTTAATCCAGTGAAGAAATAAATAAATATAAAAAAAATATACATATAACGAATGTGCAGCCATAAATATAAAATAAAAACACGAGCGCCTCACACCAAAGACGGACGTATCCCGTAACCTCCTTCTCCCCCACCACCATCACCATCACAACAATTAAGAAGCAAGGAAGTTAACTGGGAAAGTCTTGCACACACAAACCCTCCTCCTTTCCCCCCCCCCCCCCTCTCTATTCTTTTCACCCCTTCTCGTTCGGCTTGTTCGCTCTTTCCCACCGCTGCTTTTCTTATTGCTGCGTCCTTGTCGCTCAATGGTCGGTACCACCTGCCTCAAAATGGAGATCGCACGTGGGCAGTTTTCCGCCCCACAGCAACAACTTCACCACCCTTCCCTCACTGCAAACATTTTTGTGTTGTTCCTCTGTGAATGAGGCAAAAGAGGCCACATTTCACTCTTTCACTCTTTACTTTTGTTTTTGTTTTTTCTTTTTTTTCTAATTAATTCTTTTTTTCTTTTTTTAATTATCACTTCTCTTTTGCCTTTTTTCTTTTCTTTTCTTCTTCCTTTTTTTCTTTTTTTGGGTTGTCGTGCCACCACCTCTTCGCCTTTCATATATTTGGATGTTTGCCTGCGTTCCGCATGTTGTTTGTTCTTCTTCTCTTTGTTGGCTTTTTGCCCCAGTCTTAGTACCATGCGGTGCCTCCTCCGCCTCTTTTCCCCCCCTCCGTCCCCCGGAGCACACAAAGAAGGAACAGGGACGGGCAGACACGACCCCCTCATTTCATCTCCCCCCTCTTCCCGCCTCATCCCACAACACACAAATGAAAGTAAAAAAAAACAACAAAAAACAACGACCCGCAATGTGTGTGTGTGTATTTTTGTGTGGAAAAGGAATAAATAACAAAAAAAAAGTACGGGAGTGAGGATGATGAAAAGAAAAAAAGGTGCGTGGTGTCGTTACAATGAAGCCTCATCTGGAAGCATGCCCTCTCGGAACGCCTCCTTCAGTCGCTGCGCCAACTCCGGCGCAAGATCGTTACCGTAATGTGAAAGTAATGCCTGCAGCTGACGTCCCTCCTCGGCTGTGATGAAACGCACACGTTTCCCGGTCTTTGGATCCACAAGATCGTCCTTCTGCTCCATCACCACAGCCAACATGTCATTGGCCTGCAAAAAGATAGTCTGCAGACTCTTCTTGGGCACATAAATCTTTAGTGTGACAATAACATCAAGAATGCTGAGTATGACGGGCAGTGCGGGGTATTCCACCTCATCCAAACGAGAGCCCACTTGTTCGCCCATAGCACGAAGCTTTTGACGTGTGGGCTCGGCATTCATGGCATTACGTCCACCATCACTCACCTTGGCGTAGCAGGCACGTATGCTTACCATCGCGGCGTTCGCCATATGGTGTGTGAGCTGGTCGGCAGTGCATATGCGCTCCACAAGCCGCTCGCACACTTCCAGTCGCATAGTGCGCCATTTACGCAGTACGTGGGACAATGTTGCACACTCATGTGGAGTAAAGTCATTGACGTGGTTTGTTGCACGTATCGCAAGGGGTTCTAAATGAAATGGCGTTAGATCATGAACCGTATAACACTGCAAGATACCTAACAATGACGGGAGATCAAAGTCGTTAGCAAGAACTCCCACACGACGTGACATTGCCAATAAAATTTTTCGACGAATGTCTAATGTCTCCTTTGCACAGCCACGCCGTGTTTTAAAGAGTTTCGTTGAAAAAGCCTTAATAGAGGCCATATCTATGTTTTCATAGTTACTAAATTTAAGCATTGCCTTTTCCATTCGGTTCCATAAATGACGGTTGTAAAAATTTGACGAGACAATATGCGTAGACACGTACAAGACATCGTCCGCTGAAAGAACTCCATCATTGTCACGTCTTAGTAGTTCTACAGTTAACATGCGCATTGCGGCAATGTACTTTGGATCCTCTAGCCAGTCTCGTTCCTTTAAAGAGGTGGCGTAGTAAAGTGTGCGGCGCAGCTCATGCATACCAGCGTGCTGCAAAAGCGGTGTCTTTTGCATTTGCTCTACAAGCGCCGTCATTTCACTTGTCGCAGATGCCCTTAGCTCATCCACAAATTCTTCCATCCCCTCCTGCGTCAAAATCTCCGCACTTGCCCCGAGCGCATTCTGCGCCTTTAGCTGCAACGCCAATTCATCGGCCTTGGCAAGACACTCCGACAACACATCGCAATGACCCGTAATGGCTGTCGTTGGAGCCGTGAGAGCACCGTTTGGGCCTGACCCTGGCGTGTAGGTCACAGGGAGAGAACCCTCCGGCGTTGCCACAGCAGCCATCGGCGTCTCCAACGACATTTGCTGCGCTGTCATTGGCATGCTGGATGGCGCAGTCGTCGATGACCCCACAGAAGCCACCCATCGCCTCGTGCTACACAGCGCAGCACCACCGGCAGAGTGACAGCCAGAGTAATACAGAGACTGCTGCTGCTGCTGCTGTAGATGGCGAGCAAAGGAGAATCTTCTGTGGCATAAAGCCTGAAAAGTTCGTCCCGTATAATGCCTCACAGCCAAACAATGCTGCATGTGACCCTCGACCCCTCACCCGCCTGCTCCTTTTCTCCACCAGAATGCCCTCCGTGTAAGCAAGAGCGCAAAGGGGTAAAAAAAAAGAGCATACCAACAGCAGCCCATGCAGAAAACAAAAAAAAAGGGAAAAGAAAACGCGTAAGTAAGAAAAAAAACAAAAAAACACTTAATTGCATCCAAGTAGATACGGGCATTCAAGCAAATAAAATTTCCTTTCCTCATTTCTCCATTCTTTTCCTTCATTATATTCATAATAAAAAACTACTGATACAATTTGCTCCCAATCTTCATAGATATGCATAATCTCCACGCAACTATGTTTTACCATCCATTTGTTCATTTGATTACATACGGACAAATACAATAATAATAATAATAATAACCCCTAAAAGCGCCGGTCGCGAACAAAGACAAGTGTTCGGCCAAACCGGCGTGGCGCGGTTGCATGCGTCTCCGTGGTAACTTTATTGACATTCGTCTTAACTAATTCCTCTTGGGAGTCCCCTCTCGGCAATTGCGGCGCGGATTCCCCTTCTATTTTTGAATTTTTTTTAGCTTCTGCCGTGGATGTCCACGGCAGCTCCTGCGGTTTTGTTTCCGCGTTAGAATTTACATCAACTGCGGCCAAAGCAACTACATGAGCCGCACCGGTGCCATCCTCAGCACCGTTTCCATAGGTCTTCACTGGACTTTTGCTAAGCGTTTGATTCACCTCGGTTGAAGATGAAGTCCTTTTTCCTCCTTCCTTTTCCGCCTCTACATTCTCTTCCGCATGTAGCGTGGCGGTTGGAAAGAGAACTCGGCCAAAATTCAGTGCCGCCTCAAGCCTCTCCATTGGCATCGACGTCGGCGTCTGTGTCATAGTCGAACACGCTGTCGTAGCGCTGATTGTGGAACTCTGCACCGAGTTCTCTCCATGCCCTTTCGGCGTGTTACCCACGCCATTGACGTTGGCTGCTAAAGCAACCGGATCGTCATCATCCCGCCCATGACGTTTTCTTATGCCAAGATGATCAATCAGCCAGTCGTAGTAGACTTCCTCAAGACGACCGAGCATTTGCGCCGCACACGATCGTTGTGTTTGCCCAGCCGCCCGTTGTCCGATCTCGTCTTCTTCCTCGTCTTCCTCTACCCTAAGCTGCAGGAGACTTTGCACCATTTGTTGATGCAGTTCACGTGCCTCCTGGTAACTCTTCACACCATCAAAGTAACTCCGGAGAAACGGCTCTGCAGAAAATAATTTACCACGCTCGCATAAAGGTACGCTGTTATGCGCTTCATCCTTCTTGACATGTGGGGTTTCTTGGAAGCTGTAGTCACTGGTTTCCTTTTCCTTCATATTGGCGGTGTCATCGTGTGCGTCTCCAGTCAACTGTGAAAGATTAGCCGACGCACCTGCAGTATCCTTCTCTAGACATCCCTTCTCACTGGGAGAGCTCTGAATCAAATCTTCCTTCGGCGTTTTGGCATGCGGCGGTTGCATATCGTTGCCATGTTGATCCCTGCTCCCTGCCTGCCATGTACTATAGACACTCACATACGGCAACAAAAAACGGAGACCACCAACACTATCACCGGTTCGTCCATGGCCTCCTGTGCAATTCATATTCTCACCGGCCACATTCTGAGAAGGTAATAACGCGGAACTTTCAAAGGGGAGCGAACTCATCGCTGGCAACGGCGTCTGTCCACAAGAGTTACTGACTGTTCGACTCTGTGTTCCCCGCCGCCTTAGCACGGAATAGGCGGTTGGCGGCCTTGCAGAGTGGGACCTGGGTAAATTACAAGGACCAACCTGAAACTCATTTCCCGAATTTTTTCTTAGCTTTTCCAATTCAAAGGCGTACAGAGGTACACTTTCCGGCTCCCCCAAATCAGAAACGCCGCAATAATTGGAGTCTCTCGGCATAGATGCGCTGTGTTTTTCAGAGGCAGCACTCGTGGCCTCGGCTACCAAGGTGTTCATCTCCGTCGATGGGAACACCACATGCTCCAAAGATGCAGAATGCGGAGGTTCTTCCTCCCCCTTTTTCTTCTTCTTCTTTTGCCCTTCCTGCATCACCTCTTCCAATCCTCCTTCACTTTGTTGTTTTTGTTGCTTTTGTTGTTGTTCTTCCTTCTCTGGCCGCGGTATCTCTTCTCGTACAAGTGGGGCGTCTGTCTCCGCTGGTGCGGGTTTCTCACATGCCGACTCCTGTGCGGTCACGACGAGTTGCTTCGCCGCCCCTTGCAATGACGGCATGGAACGTTCGGCAGGGGAATGACACCCCGGCGTCTCTTTCGTCGTCACTTCCCCTTCCTTCTCCTTCTCCTCCTTTGCGTCCGCTTCCTTTTTTCCCTCCATTTGTTGCTGCTGTTGCTCCTCCTTCTGTTGTGCCTGCCGTGCCAAGTCATTTTCATACTTCTCAGAGAAAGAAACAGAAGGCAAAGATTGCTGCAATGCTGTTTTTTCTCTCTGTCCTTTCATAGCGAATATGATGCCGTCACTGAATTTAGTTGTCGGTCGACCGCATGTCTCTTTTGAATACAACGAGTATTGGTTCGGGGCAGAATTGCGTGATGCCGGTGAGCTCCACGTGTCCTGTGGCCGAGAACAACTCCACGGCGACAATGGCGATGTCATGGGGCGAGAGTTGGGTGAAGCAGCACCAACCATCCATTCCCCACTCTGCACGTATACATCCGTCCTGTTGTTAATAAAATCCGTTGTGGTTTTCGACTCCGCTGTAGGGTGAGGGAATTTGGGTAACGTGTCTCCAGTCAACGCCCCACTCTTTCCTGGTTGTTCCCGTCCCTCATCAGTTCCATTATTATTTTCTTCCCTCCCCTCAAGCCCTGGGGTGCGTGATTCTTTTTCATTTGCACGCACCGCGGCTTTCGCTGGCGTGCTGTCCTCCAACGGGCTATCAACCGACCCCGATCTTAATAACACCCCCTCCCACTGTAGCCAACGCTGCGTCACGGCGTTCAACTCATGGCCAAGCTGCACCAGTGCCTGTCCATGCCTCTCCGACCCGCAACAGCAGGAGTCCGCCGCGGAATCAATATGATCTTTCGCCTCTATAAGTGTCTTCCACGCCGCCTGAAAGCAGTTCTGCCGTGTTAAAACACGCGCCTCACCAAACTTCTCCCACGCTTCGTCCAGGAGACGATGCGATTTCTCATCCTTTTGCGGTGGTACGGCGTTGAATTCACCTTGAGTTATTTTGGCTGCAAGGCTTTTTTTAAATTTTTTCCCGTTGCTTTGCTTTCGCCTCGTCGAACTTCCAGGCCTGTTGTTTCTTCTGCTACTGTTTACATTCTCTCGTTCCTTTTTATCTTTCTTCTCTTCCTTTTGTGATCGTTTCTTCTCACTGCCTGCTGATCCATTCCGTTGGAGTCCAGGCCTCACTGGCAAAGCCGTTCGAGGGCGCGTACGTTGCATTTTGGAGGGAAATGAAGATATGCTTCCCTTTGAACTGCGGTCAATCACAATCCACGACATACACAAATCTCAAATAAATAAAGAAGAAAAGAAGACAAAAAATAAATAAATAAATAAAATCCGCTGAGGATCACTGCATGGGCATTATATGGTAACGTCACATGAGACGTGTATTTTATATAGACATATTTTAAAATAATGCGGATTTCAAAAGGAAAAATAAAAACAAAAACAAGTAACCAATAATACATGTAAGTTATAATATTTTGTTCACATGAATTTTTCAGCCGTCAAACTGCATGCATGCATTCATTCTTCTTCTTTTGCTCTTCTTCCTCTTATGTCTTGCTGTTGTTGTTTTTTTTTTGTGTTTCTCGTCACTCCACATGGTAGAGGGGCCCCACTCTTTCCGTTGACAACTACTGGCTGCTGCAACTCTTCCATCCCCCCCTCGTTTCCGTTGATCACCACAAAAAAAAAAACACAGCAACAGGAAAGAAGGAACTCTACATGGAGTGCGGTGCTTGTGCCGCCGCCGCTGCCGCCGTGCCGCATTTGCCTTTTCTAATGCCGTGATCCGTTTGATTTCGCTAATAATCTGCTGATTGGCCTTCTTGAGATATTTTACCTCCTCCTCGTGCCTATTCTGTTCGGACTGCTTCTGCTCCTCAAAGCGCTTTATCATTCCGTCACGCTTCGCCCGCAGTTCATTCACGCGATTCTCCAACCGGCGTACTTCACTCTCCATACTTTTCTTGTCGTCAAACAAGTAACTCCGCATATCGCGCTCAATCGCCTTTCGTACGGCGTATTGACTGGCGCTGTCAAAGAGAATGTCGTACTTGTTCGTGGTCTGCTGCATCTCCGTCGCCAGCTCAGCAAGCAGCAGTCCACGCTCTGGGCACAAGACAGTCGTTTGTCGTATCAATTCCCGCAGACCATCGGTGTATATTCCTTCGCGAATTGTACAAAGTACCCCGGAGGGGCGTGCATTCTCCTCCTTACACCGACGATTTAGATGATCCTGCAGATGAACACAATCTAGTCGACTTGTGTGGTCAATCGCCGCTACTTTCATCCACTTACTCTCACCAAACTCTCGTGTAGAGCAGAAGGTGTTGCGTGTCCGATAACCAAATCCCTCCTCATTCTTTTCCTTCTTTTCTTTCTTTTCCTCCTCCTCAACTTGCAGGGGCTCGGGTGGGAAAAGCGTCGCAAGCGCCTGCTCCGGAGTGAGACTGTTCTGTATCAACTTCGGTGCCTCCTTCTTCGCAACGCCCGAAGAACCATCCGCAAGGGCAGTGAATGAAACCCCAACAGATCTTCCCATGCGTGACGCCTTTGCACGCGCGGCGAAGGAGGCACCACCACTTACGACAGATGCGTTAACTATTGCGGTACCGGCAAAGTCCACCTCCCTGTCTTCCACGTTGTCGGGATCATCGCCCTTGCCGTTGGCGGCAGGCGAGTTGTACGGCACTGCACGATAAAGCACGGTGCCCTTTTCGTCATATACATTAGTCACATTCCCTGCATGCGACATTTCAGGCTCCTTTTTTTTTTTTTTCTTTTTTTCTTTTCTTCTGGGTTCAATTGTGTGTGAGTCTTTCCGTATGGAATTTTACGCCAGCCACCCGTCCGCCCTCCCCAAATATGACTGCTCTTCCTAATCGTCCCTCTCCCCCTTCCATCCCGGCCCCCATACACGCATGCATACACAGAGAAATACACAGGGTGAGCAAAAGAGGGTACACAGTGATAAAATCACAGCAAAAATAAAAAGACAAATACAAAGAATCATAAGGAAAATCAAAAAAAAAAAAAAAAAGCACGTGACAAAGTAAGACATGGAGGACAATAGAAATCACTTTAAAAAATTTTACGGCGGGGTTTTACATGGTAAGCGACACCCCTAGTGAAAGCAAGGCATCCTTTGAGTACTCCGCAAGGACTGCACGTGCCTTTACGGCGTTCCTTTGCGCCTGCAATGCCTCCACAAGAAGACGTTGACGCCTTTGCAGCCACTCCCTCCGCTGAGAAGGGTCCAAACCGGCTGGCATCTTTTCAAGTAACAGTTCATAGGGCGGAACCCCCGCTGTATTTTCCGCCGAATTGGTTGCGGCGGCGACAGGGGACGACGTCAAAATGGGGCGTGGGGGTACGAGCTTAGAGTTCTTTGAGTCGGCTCTGGAAAGATCATCGGCCAACGCCGCTGTCAGATTCCCCTGGGGCGAAACAAACATCGATGTAATGCGACGCTCCTCACGACGCCAGTCCGCCATCCGTTGCACATTCAACGCCAAAGCAGCCTCATCGGTGTTTTCATGATACGACGGAAAGAGTGTTTCAGACCTCCAACCCCACCCATGCTGCTCCGCGCCCATTGCGGTTGGCCGGTGGAGACCATCCATCCAGTTTCTTTCAGGCGCCCAACGTAAGGTCGTGAACGGTTTCATGTTGCCCCCTGTCTTCTTGTTCCCCTCATCACGCTCGAGCCTCAGCTGGTACACATTGCCAAGCCAGTCACCAGCAATATACATGATATGGCAGAACGGAGATGACATTGAAGCTGTGAATTTTGGGGCTGCAGAAGGTAGTAACTTGTTATAATCTTCTAATGTCTTATCCACACGAGAGCGTGTTGGCGACACTTTTTCTGGCATCCGCATCACCGTAACAGCCGTGATCCCCGATGATGCAAAAAATATACCCTCTTCATTCCACAGATCTCTACGCCGAGCATCCGCCACCTTCTTTTCTTTGTCCTCTTCTTCCTCCTCACCCTCCTTCCCTTTTTCTGCGTTTAAATTCGCATCCCCGTTAGATGTGTCGACGCTATCGGCATAACCGTCTGCCATTTCTCGGAAGGGAAAAACTGTAAAGATTCGCGTGGAGCCATCACGACAGCCAACCACGACCTGCAGCGTCGTCAATGCATCCCGCTGCAGAATCGGTTCCCTTGAATCCTCTTTTATTGTCGTTAATGTGATGGAGTCCACTGGTATACGGTCCCCATGGTTCTCGAGAATGTGTGTGACGTGCCGCAGAATAAGACGGGTGCGCTGCTGCTCCTTCAGCATCAGATTGTCCAGCGGATCCTCCACTTCCACCGACGCGGGACCATTTTCTTGTGCGTCGTACACGGCCTCAAGAAGCAGCACCGTACCAAGGCTTGTTCCCAAAGCAAAGAGTACGGCTGTCGAAATGTTATCATCTTCATTTTCAAACCACGAGTTTTTCACACGAGCAGAATTGCTCGCGCTTAGGAAGAATTCCCCTTTTTTAAGCATGTGGTTACCGATACTGCCGTTGGGTGCCCCATCAGAAACAAAATAATCCAGTTGTAATGGGTTTTGCATGGGCAACACTATCGCCCTCTGGAGTGAAGGTAAAAGCAAATGACAGCGGAGCCTGCCCACGGCGATATAGAGCCCGCATAATAACCATGCGTGATGATGTGCATCGGGAGGTGCAACATGCGCCTCTATGGCTTCGTTCTGAGAATTGGCCTTCAATCGGTTGGTTTGACTATTTCTGACTAATGAAACGGCAGCTATAATTTCCTCCGCGTCATTCGGCGACATAATGTATGAGTTTACAGCCTCAGTTGAGAATGTGGGAGTCTGCTGCCGTAATTCATTCCACACGGGACTTTCATCCGTTTGACCCACCCAGCGAAGAGATGCGCGTTGTATTGTTACTTGCCCTGAAGTATCTTCTGCGTCGTGAACACTGCTTGATTTATTCAAGGAAGGCTTCATTCTTGCATGGTTGCCATGCACGTCCTGTGAATTTGATAAAGCACTTGTTTCGCAGGTACCACGGGAGGAACCTGTCGTCTCTGAAGAGCTCCTAACACCACTGGTTGCCGAGTTCGCATAGGACATTTCTTCTGAATTTGCATCGGTCGATTGTAAAGTATTCGTTTCTGCATCATCATCACTCGCCGCGCTGATTTTGCCGCTCAACGTTTCATTGACCCATTTGTTTTTCAGAGACCTCGTGGCCGTGTCATCGTCATAAATTTCCCATGCCGCTACCATCCCATTCGTTGTCAGTGCCATTGCCCAGTTGCAGGATGAACGGTGGGAATTTGCGGCACTCAGATTGTCAACTTGACGCCCGTCACCGTCTACTCCCGTCACATTCACCTCATTGCATTCAATGAAAACAACAGGGTATGCGTCTTTATTGACCACACGAATACGCTGTAGCAGGCGTCCCTCGCGGTGATTAAGACCGGGCGATGAGGCCCAAATAAAAACTTCTCCAGCAGCCGTCCCGCAAAGGATGCGACTGTTTTGCATCACAATGCGGATACATGAGACACGGTGATGCTCATGTGCAAGAACAAAATGAGGGGCAAAAAAATCCTCCTTACCGTCGGTGTTATAAAAGGCCCCTGCTCCAACGACCTCACGACCTGCAAACACAAACGCCGTGCCTTCCATGCCGCCTGTAACAAAAAAGGATCCATCCGATGCCGCCGCACAAGCAGTCACAATCATCACGTGTGTTCCTCGCATTTCCATGCGTTCTTGCCGGTCACTCTGGCCAAAAGACCATTCCTTAAGACTTTTGTCGGCAGATGATGTGAAAAGAGTGGAGGGCTTCTGTTTATGAAAGGCAACACTGGTAACGGGTTGACGGTGGCCGTTGAGAGTGCATATCACCGTCCCCGCCACACCGGCATACGTGATACGTACATTCCCTCTTTCATTTGCTGATGCCATTAACTTTGCATCCGGTGAAAACGCAATGGACGTGATGGGAATGCCCGCATGTAGCGTCAAGCGCGCACTGCATAATGCCGAAGCGTAGTCATACAGACATATTTCACCATTGTAAAGCGCCACGGCACATGTGACGACCATCGAAGGCAAGAACGCAAGCGCACGCACAGGGCTATGCGTATCGAAGACTTGATGTGCATATTTCAATGGATTATCTTTCTCGCTTTCACCAGCATCCATGGGACGTTCCATGTTAATGAAATATACCAATCCCTCCCACGATCCTGTTGCAAGTATCTCACCCAAGTTATGGTACGTCACACAAGAAACGGGCGCCCTGTGATGATTCAACAACTGGATCGGTCTCAAAGCCGGTCGCACTGCAGACTCCACAGCGTTACTCACGACGTGCCACACCGCACATATTCCATCATGGCTGCCAGAGCAAACAATACTTTTCGTGGGATGACAAGCGAGAGATGAGATACATCGCGTATTCTCAATCATGCCCTGCTGAAGGAGACTATTATCCTCCAGACTCCACACCCGCAGAATGCCGCGTCTACACCCGGTAAGAAGAATATGAGATCGGCTTGGAAAAAACGCAATGGCAGTGACGGAGGCCATGTGCTTTAATGACGCTGAAATTTGGTCCAATGCACCTATTGGTACCACTCGCACCATCGAGTCTTCCCCACCAACGGCCATGAATTTTCCATCATCGCTTAGCGCCACACAAAGCAGTGGTTCTGTCGTTGGAAAAGCCAGGGTGCGTCCCTCCTCTCCGTGTTGACTGGAATTCAACCAATTAATCCATGTGCAGGGCTTACCGCCGCCACCGATGGTGTTATCGCTCATATCATCTGTATTGGGGTTGCCACCACTGTTGTAGTCCAAACCATGAAAAATTTTTTTGCAACCTGGCAGGTTCCGGATGCATTGCCGTAGAAGTTTCGGGCGATCCATGAGGACATGGTACTCACTTTGCATGAAATCAATGATGGATTGAAGTTGACGCGACAGCAAGGAATTTGCCGTAGAGGCCTGCAAAAGAACATTCATGAACCGCTGCAGGTACGTTGCATTGACAAGGAGGTACTCAATGAATGTCACATACGAAGCAATCGTAGCGAACGCGTCATATTCTTTCGAGCGCAACGCAAAGTGAAGAAGGGCAAGCAGTTGAGAAGGCCTGTAGCGTTCTGGACGAAACACACACGTTTCCAGCGAACCTCGCTTGATAGAATCCATTGCGATACGAATGCTGTCGCGAATTTCATATCGACTCACGTCTGTCAAAAGTGGACGAAAGTACAACTCTGCCGCCAGCATGTTTGCGTAGGCGTCCACAACATTCGAGGAGCTGGGGATGTACCTGGCAGCGATGGAAGCCTCAAAGGATGCATTCGAGATCAAGACTCGCTTGCGTGCCACACGCAGACATGTCCCGGTGAGCAGTGCGACAAGACGAGAGGCGTTGGCGACGTTGGAGACGAGTCGGTAAAGGTTGTATTCCTTAAGACCCGATAAATTCTGCGAAAGGTAGAGCGAAACAAGAACAGTGCGACACGTTTCCACACCAAATCGTTCCTCTAACTTTTTGTATGTCTCAGTATGCAGTTGTAAGAGCGTCGAGGGCAGCTTTGCAATGTCGGCCCGTAGTGTATCAAATGAGCTGAATAGCCGAAGGTATGTGATGGCATATGTGAGATAGGAGGCCTGATTGGCGTTTTGCTTCCGCAGAAGAATCTTAAGTTCATTCACGCGAAAGGACTCTTGTAGCCTTTTTCCGTAGGAAGCCAGGTGCCGTCGGACAAGTTCGGCACGTTCAGGCATGTTCAGGTCGGGTAGCGTGATGCTCAACGCTGGTGGAACACGCAATTTCAAAGCGGTGGCAAATGGACTACTCAATGCGGTAGTGACGATAAAACGAATACCTAACGTGTTAGTGGAGAGCACAATCCAGCCAAGATTGCTTAATATCTCTGCCGCGTATGAAGACTTCTCCATGCCATCGAGAATAATACATATGTTACTTTTTTTTCTGGCCGCCGAATAGACGCGCGACAGGAGCTGAAGGAGAGTCGTGACAGAGTCGCTCTCATGCACACAGAAGTCTTCTTGCAATCGAAGGCGATAGACCAGAGAGAAGACAAGATAATACACCAGACGCCGAAGACTTCCATCGCTGGCTTGGCAGGCAAAATAAACGACCAAAATGCCCGAATTTTCCATGTGGACAAGATTTGATGCAACAGCGGCGGAGACACTCGACAATCCATTTCCCTCAGAGCCTTGCAACAGAAGAACATTGGAACTTTTCTCATGATTCGAGGTGTCATACGAACCATTAAAGTTTGCAGCTTTGTTATCGGCGGTAGAATAAAAAGTGCTCGTGGAAGTTGCATCTACAACTGCGGGAGAGGGTGCATCCGTCGGTAGACGGCCCGTAAGAGCAAAGAATGATAACTTCTCCATTAAACCTTGCGGGGGCACAAATTTCTTCAACAAAGTTGTGGTAAAGCTGACCTGATCCATGCACTCTTCCTCATACAGTGTCCCACGCACCTCTGTTCCATTCACATTGCCATCACGGTAAATTTTCTGTTGCTGTTCTTGATCACCAGAATCCTTCAGGCCCTTCACAGACTCACTAGCATCATCCGGGCGTCCACAGTACTGCAGGACAATCGACTTCAGCGCAACAAAAGCCTTACGGGAAAAATCCGTCATGTCAAGTGGCACGTGCAACGCAGATTTTTTTGTTAAATCCATAGAGGCGGCAAAAAACGCATCGGACCTCGGACTCATACCTGTTGCGTTGTAAGGAATCATAGGGACACCCTGAGCCTTCAAATGGCCTGAAAGCTTTGAGATGGACTGCATCGTAGTCGGTGTATCAGGCGCGTATGCTTCTCGGTCCTCCGCCGGCAATGAACCCATCAACGCTGAATGATCACGCAGAAAAAAAGCCATCGTCCGTGGTGCTTGCCGCCCTGTGCGACGTGCCGCAGTGAACATAGCATGCCGCATCTCCATCTCCGTCACAGACATCCGCGCTGAGTTTTCATGTGGAAACTGCTGTAGCCACGTGAAGTCCTCCGCGTCCACGTCTTCGTCAACACGATGGTACAACGTAGGCGGGCAATAACCGTACCGGGAACCGAGCACACCAATAAAGAACGGAGAGCACCGCGAAACTTCATTGAGACAAACAGAAAGGGACAGATCGGAGCTTGACGCATCCTCTGTGATACCCCAACGCAGGTCCACCTCGACAATGTTGACAAATAGCCTCTCTTCCGCTGCCCAACGACGCAGCCGCGGAAAGACTTCAAGAACCAACGCGTTCCGTTCACTGTTCATGTCAATAAAAGTCGAGGAAATAAAAAATCGGCATTCGCGGTATGTCGACAAAAATCCTTTTTCCGGGGTTAGAAACCGTATTGGTGTTACGGGCCCTGCTGGCGTGAGGGGGAGCGCGTCGGGTGTTTTTCTCGTTGTTGATTGCAACGTCGGTAGAGGTGGCAACATCGGTGGCGTGGGCAATTGCCGTTGAGGTGCGGATGTCATCATGGCAATTCCAGACGCCGAGCTGATTTGGGTGTCGGTAAAGCCTCCTCCTCCTCCTCCTCCCAAAAGTGACTCCGCCGCACAACTGTCTTTATGCGCACAACGCTCTTTTTCAAGTAAAGCCATTCGTTTCAGCGCCCGTAATTCACCTTCAGACATTTGGCCCGGGCGGACTGTCATACGATTGACATCGTAAACCTCGTCAATCCGCTCAATGTAACGCCGAGCTCCACCCGAGTTACGCTCCGCCACAAAACGCAATACGGCGTCTGAGAAGCCGGTCAATAAGACGTCGTTCTTGTGGCAATACCGCAACTCCGCCTTCTCATCCGTCTCCGTAAACGCCCTTAGCGAAAGGAACAAAAGATCCTCATTACATGTACGACGTATGCGCCGAAGATATTCAGGAAGATCACCAAGGGAGGGGGCAGCATTTTTTCCCGAGTAACAACTATGTCTCGAACCCATAACCACAATGGACTGAATATTCATTCGACGCTCAATCAAATCGTCCAAGTATGCATACGGAAAAACCTCGGAATTCCCTTTACTTTCAATTACACTTAATATGACATGTCAAGGCCCCACGCCTTGTAACAAATTTTTCTGATCATTTTCACATGCTGTAGCATGTTACCCGTATTCCTAAAGTCCCAGTCAATGACGCGATACACATCCCTCAATGCCACCAATAAGACACAGTGTTCACATGCGTACTTCAAGCCAACTGCCAACATGGCAGCCTCCTCCATTTTTGATCGACCGCCATTCAAAGATTTGAGTAAATCCGTGTCTGTATCTATAATCACAATAGACATTCCACGAATAGGCGTGATATTGCGACGCATGGAGATCTCTGTCGAACGCTCCAACGCATCCATGTATCGTTTCTTTAGCATTTTGACTACTTCCGTATCGCGAAAGAAGTCATGTCTGTTATTCCTGCGTCTTCCGTTTAAATTTTTCGAAAATTTGCAAATATCATCCGGTGAATTTTCAAGAGCTTCATACGCGCGTAAAAATTGATAAGGAAACTGACGCGATGCTATTACCTGCTCCTCTGACATCAGTCGTCTTATTATAGCAACATGGGTGGCCTCGCTACATCCTTGATAAATAATACTACGTAGGTTTCGTAGAGTGGCCATAAAGGGCAATTGATTTTTTGCTACCATATCATCCCATACCTTTCCTTTGTTCCCACGTAGGGAAATTTGCACCTCCCACACCTGTGCAATTGGCAGTCGCATGCGCCTACCGCAAAATGCTTTATCAAATGTACGTTTGCCACCTTCATCCAAACCACGCTCTCTGAATTCCTCCTCCGTGTTCGGATAGCGCTTCCCTAAAATACAACAGACGACGTATGCGGGCTGTGAGATGTGTAACCGGCGGATATAGTCCTTCATTGTCAGTGGACGGGCAGATCTTGTCCCACCACAGTTTCCCACCTCCTTTTCAAAAAACCGTTCCCTTCGACAGAACTTCTTGACAGATCGTTCTGTGTTGTACTTGGAGAGGGAGTGATCGTCAAACATGGAGAAGGTCTCAACAAGGGCACGCCGTAGTGCGTTGGGCAGACTTCGCCCCTTTCCACCCCTCTGTTCCTTCACGGTGGATGTCGTTGATGTCGATCTCGAGTCGTCATCGTTGGTGTTGGCCTCCAAGGCCAGAGATAGGTGCGGTCTTTGCATGGCAATGTTTGCTATGTTCAGCCAGTCCGATGGAAGACAAATGATGTGCCGCATGTAACATTTCAAAAAAGGCTGACACTTCGGCTCATATGCGCAGAGGGCAACCAACAGGGCGGCGGTGTAACGTATGTAAAGTTCACGGCGAACGTACAGTGCCAGCTTTAGGACAAACTCCCCATCCTCTAGGCTGATAGCATGTACCAGAAATGCGATACGCTTTGCGTTTTTGTATTCATCGGATTTATACATATCTTTCCTTCTATGCCTCGCGGTAAAGTTCACCTCCTGCATCAACGATGCACTCACACGGCCAATGAGTTCATCCTTCTCTTCGCGCAGCTCCGCCGCCAGTTCCCCAACAAATGACATGGTGGAATGATTATCCTCATCGTCATCATCACCATCCGTGGCGTATCCTCCCGCCGTTGCTTTTTGGCGATTCTCCACATCACGCATATCAAAGAACGCAGCGGGATGTTCACACTTTGACTCGTTTCCCATACTTGCCATTCAAATAATAATAATAATAATAATAATCAATGTAAAACGGAATATATATATATGTATATATATATCACCAAAACCTAATAAACGACTGTCTCTTTCAATAGGTCCTTTTCTTTTTGTTGTTGCTGTTGTATTTAATTACGTCCCCTCCCTCCCGTCTTGGCTATTAGACTAAACGACTACTTTACTACCAGGCGCAACTTGCCTCGGCTGTATGTATGTTTGTATGTATTTATGTACTTATTTATATGTAATATGGGATTTCTTTGGCTTCCACTGCCATTTTCATTAGAAAATTCCGGCAGGAAGCGCAAACGCAAAAAGGCAACACGCACAGAGACACAATAAAAGAAAAAAGAAAATACAGGCGTCATCTCACGGGAAGAGTAAAATAAGAGAACACCCCCGCACGCATAGACACAAAGAAAAAAGAGGGGAGGGGGGTTGAGGCCTGGAAATTATTGCTACCAACCCCCGTTTGCTACAACTCAACCTCTTCATATGTAGACACAAACAGAGAAAGGAAGGGATGAAGTGAGAAGGAAATAAATAAATAAATAAAAAAGATACACAAGGGCCGCAGCCAGTCTTACTCACAACTACAGACACAAAGTAGCGTTATCATCCAAATGACTGGCATTCATCCTCACATATGTAAGCTTTCATTCTTACAATCCTTCATCCATTTGCTTCCTTCTTGCGCCCAAACCCTTCGCTCTATCCCTCCCTCTCTCTCTCACTTTTTCTCTGCGCTTCTTTCTTTCCTTTTCATCCGCTCCCACCCTTCTACTTTAGCATCCACTCATTTCACACCACGCATATCATGTACAGAAAAGGAAATCCTCTACAAAACTGTCCCTAATTTCTGTCGCGACATTCATGCGCAAACACACAGACAGCAATTATGTCGTGTGTGCGTGTACATGGCCGCTGCGCCTAAATGGACCTTTTCACGACGGTTGGCTTAAAATCGGGCGGAAGATATCCCGTCTGTTCCGTATTCCAGTCCATTTGACGGGGCGGGGCACGTTCACCCCAGAAGTACATCATTTCCCCCTTCCACGAGAACATCCATAGGAATGCGTACAACGTAGGGGCAGCGATGAGGTACTCCCGCCGCATTGCCACGGCACGGTTCATCATCCACTTGATGTCCACAAACCGAAGAAACTTTAGCGAGCCATTCAAATGACCGAAGAACCCCTTGCATTCCTCTGCCGGTGGGATTTGGTCGAGTGTGGGGCGGACAAACAACTCACCGCCGCTGCGGCGAATAGGCGTCCGGCGGAACAGACCGACACTGCTGCGACGAAGCATTGGGTCCTTCTTTTTGCTTGAATTAGCAGCGGCACTGCAGGAAAGAAAGGGAAAAAAAATGAGAAAAAATAAAAACAGAGAAGATTTGTAAAAAAAAAAAAAAGTCCCTTCAAACGTAGAAAAACAGCAATGACACTTGCACACACAAAAAAGAAAAAAAAAAAAGCTTTTTATTCCTTTTACCCCGTTGTGATCCCAACGAAATACTTAACGGCATGTACACCACGTGAATACGGTTGCAGCAACATATATATATATATATTCTTTTTCCCTCAGCCCATACCAGCATTATTCGCTTCCCGGAGACTCTGAAGAATGCTGGCGGCTGTAAAGCGTGGCAAATACACACGTCCGCCTTTACCTGCAATCCCGCTAAACATTTCTGCCACACACGACTTCTGTACTTGATCCTTTGTCAGTAAAACAATCGCGGGACCACAACCCCGCACATTCTGCAGCAGCAACTCACCCATGACGGAGGCCGAGACAAGGTCCCCAGACTCGTTTCGCGTCGCGGCATACACAATGTAAATGTCAGAGTGTGGGTGCATTCGTGAAAGTTGAAAAAAGATGTGCCCAGGACGCGATGTGTGTGGAATAAACACCTCGTGTACACAAACAAATAAACAGGCTACACGACGAAAAAACTGAAGACTCTCCCCATTCGTTAACAGTTCGAGTAACACCTCCTCCGTGGCAAGTTCAATATTCGCCACATCAAGAAGAACCACCACGCGTGGTGAGAAAAGTTCCCCTTCTACATCACCAGAGTCCTTCGAAAATGACGGCAACGCCTTTAATAGACGTTTCATTTCTTGCGCATTAAAGGCTGTAAAACTGGACTGGGTAGAGCCACTGGAAGCATGCAACCAACTCATATGTCGTGTCATTTCCTGCGGTGTCATCCATGGCAGTTGAAATACTCCTCCTTTTCCTCCTTCCGTTACTGCACCGGCACAACAGCATATGGGGCAGCGGTACAGCGGCACAGTCACATCCCCGTCGTCAGCAGACTCAAGCGGCCGGTTTAAAAGGGCGTTTGTGTGAGCTGAAAGGTACGTGACGGGCATTCGAACACCGGGGGTTCGCTCATTGGGCGCATTGAGGTCCGCAGCAAATTGTCTTTCACGAGTCTCCTCCACGATACGTGGAAGACCGCCCCCGTTACGCAGGTGGCGTGTGAGGGGGTAAATAAATCGCTCAAGATCGCCGTGTAACGACGCTGAACTTGTGGGAAGCGTACGACAAACGCCAGAGGCACGCATGAACAACGCCACTGCCTTCCCCTCTCCGCCTTTAGCCTTCCGGACAAATGGGAACGAGTCCACTAAGCGACAACAACAACAAAAAAAATAATTAATTGAAATAGAACAGAAACATGCGAAGAGAAAAACAACAACAACAAAAAGAAAGTGACGGAAACTCGGATTAATTGCCTCTGCCCAACAAAAGAAAAATACATATATATAAGCATATATATATGGAGATGACTTTCGCACATTCGCGTCGGCATCAAGATAATAATAATAATAATAAAGAAAGAAAAAATCAAATAAGCGTCGTGCCAACGCAGTGCTAGCCGGCAATTGAAGGTACATCGGAGAATAAAACCAACGGCATTGTTACCGGCTTGGGCTCCACTGCTAGTACGTCTTCCGGTACGGCAAGGGACGTCATGATTTGCGTAGCGACGCACCGACCGCTTTCCACCGCTGCCGCTGCTGCATCGAGCTCCGCCATTTGTTCCGCCGAAACCTTCCGTAAAAGCAACGGCATGAGTACCCGCTTAGCCCGCTCCTCAAGCTCTAGAAGATAGTCCTCAATGCGGAAACGCAGTTCTTTTTGCCCTCCGTGGCAGCCAACAAGTTGCAGCACAGGGCCAAGAAAGGGATGATACTTCGGGGGGATCGGCAAACCACCCAGCTCCAAGACTAAAACACAAAAGGCATACGCAAGACGCAAGGTGCGGAGGTACAGTGTTCCCCATGTCTCCTTGTTTTTCCTCAGAAACTCGCAGTAAGATTCCACATGCAAATTGTAATGTGTGATGGCGCACTCATTTCGGTGAATTGTAGCCAGTATTTCACTGTATTTCGCCTCCAACTGAAAAAGTTTGATCACATCGGAGGTCTGTGACGTAACTTTTTCGCTTTCTGAAAAGGAGAACGCAAAGGGGCGTGTGCTTAAAAAACCGCCGGAAGAGCTCACCGATTCCATCAACTTTTGACTCAAATCTCGGTACTGCAACCGCAAGCTCTGAAGGATGGGGAGTAATGTCTCATTGGTTTCCTTCAACGCGGAGGCGGCAATAAAATACATTTGTCGCGTATCGACTGCGTAATAGGCACGCTGCATTGGAGCCACCAATAAAAACTCATGATTTGGCATCTTCTTCGGTGATGACAGCAGTAGGGATTTCACAGGACGCACGAAGCGATTGACGTCTACAGTGTCCGTATTCCCAGAATTGGAGCCGTACATGCCATCATCCTTTACTCTAATAGATTGAATTAGTTCCGGTTTCGTCGTGTAGCTTAGAGCATTTTGCCCCGACATGACGGCATGAATGGAAAGCGTCACCACCACCTTTGCAAGGATACGGCGCCGCACCTCAACCCCTTCCTCTTTTGCTAGTCGTTTCATCGCTAAAGACCGCCATTCACTCTGCCGCAGTATGGCACGCACGTCCATCGCGTAGCCAACAAGGGCCTCGTAAGGACGTGGGGGTTCACCGACAAAATCGCCAGCTTTCAAAAGTCTTTCACGCAGATCAAACGCCTCTACTTCATCCTCTTCAATTCCACCGGCATCACTCAGACAATTTCTACCATGACGTGATGGTTTCCTGTGACTTTTGGCTGAGTTATTGCTACCATGCTGTAGAACCAAAGATCGTGTGGAAATGAGTGAAACGGCATCCGCGAGAATGCCCCTCTCAAGTGCACCATGAACATTAAAAACCAAACGCAATGGGAGCAGAAATGACGCGCAAGATAAATCCGTGACATTTAAAAGAGGCTCAGATCCAGTGACATTTTGTTGCTCAGATTTTAAAAATGCTGAATACGCAGTTTTCTCCACGAAGCCCGCACATTCGCACAGCCACTGTGTAAGGTGCTTTAGTCCGGGGAGGTCGTCAGCATGAATGATCTGCTCCACCCAATTGGTGTGCATGTAAACGGAACTTTGGGGTGGAAAAAGAGCACCTTCTCGGGATGGGATCGGCGTGTACAAGGTGCTATTTTGGGAAAAGGTGGCGCTGGACTTGACTCGTGTCAACGTGCCGGCCGAGTGCCTCGAAATAACCTCCAAAAGACGTTGCATTTCTCCTACAGGACTGCAACTGGCCCTTTTGTCACGATTCCTGTGCATGGGTATTGCAACGCTGGGTGTTGTTCCCAACAAGGGGTAAACTAAGTTTGTACCGCGCGTAAGAGAAGTGTCCGTTCCTTGTATCATTAGTCGTGGCGGCACCGCAACAAGAAGTCTTTCCTCCGTTCCTCGAAGTATCGCCTTATTTTCGTCCTCATGACCATCTTTTTTCTCTTCCTCTTGTTCACTCCACGAGCTCAGGAGACGTCGCCAATTATTCTGCCGCGTGGCGTCTTTTAGCGTTGAAAACAAACCACACCTTTTTTGTCTCGCTTCTCTTTCGCGAGCCTGTCGGCGACGCTCGCGGTCTTGTATGGCCTGGTGTCTTTCCAGCTGCATTACAAACTGCAGGGCTTCTTCTTCCTTGCGGACAGCCACCATGCACATTTCATGTTGCGCCACGGGATCGTTGGAAATTCTCTCACCTTCCGGAACAAGCATCACCTTGTCACACCACTGATGGATGCTGTTCATAAAACGCCTTTCCCGCAAACGACGACAACGAGACGTTTCTGCATCATCACGCGTTATGATTTTTTTATTGACGCCTAACGAGGCACCATTGAAAGGACGGGAACGTGTAAGCGGTTTCCTTTTTTTATTCCTGTGCATTACACGAGAACTTGGCTTCCATTTCACATCTTCGGCATCGTCTGACACCCCGTCCCTTTCCACCATTTCCTCCCCGTCGTTGCTCGTAGAGGAGGAATTCAAAGAAATGGTGGCGTCGCTGCAGTTAGAGAGGGTGGAGAACTGCTTCAAGGTGGGACGAGGAAATAGGACATTATCATCTGGATAACAGCAGCGCTGTCGCAGCAGAGAAATCTTTAGCGGCGGAAAATACCATGGCGTGTCATTCACAACAAGTTCCCCCTGTCGCCTGGCTGTTTCCTCCAGATGAACTGTGTCGTGCTCAAACGACATGACCGGAGATGCATTCCGTTTCAAATGTGCCACCGTCCAAGTTTCACCGTCGGTGCCCAGTGTAATGTTATCCACACAAGTGTCAGGGAGAGAGCCAAGTCCTGAGTGAGACAATCCCTTCAACGCTTCATCAGTTCCTGTGTCTCCTCCGGTAAGTTGCATGATGGTACGTCGCAGCTCCTGTGTGGCGAGACCACAACCAGTCATATTTGGCTTCGATGATGGCATCTTAATAGGCGGGAGTGCAAAATCGAAGCGGGAGGCGTCATCAATCTTCCTGGCGTTGCTAGGAGACCGCGCCGATGGCTTTTGCTGCCATTGTGCCGGAAATCTTTTCTTCTTTTTAAAAGGCCGGCCTGGTCTCATGAAGAAGCTAAATTAAAATCTCTCTACCCCACCCGCCCTATATATCCACTCTTTCTCTTTCCTCTTCTTCGTTCCTTTGCGTTTCTTCTTTTTTCAATTTATTTGTTTGCCTCCTCCTGGGCTCTCAGTTAATTCCTTTTATTCCACTTGGCAAACTTTTTTGTGTGTGCTTGTGAGTGTGCGTGATTTGGCACATGTTAGGCCCACAGGCGGACAACGGCTCAGGCAACCCTTTCCCCTCCCAAAAAAAAAAAAATAAATAAATAAATAAAACACGGTTGATCCCGCCCCTCCTTCTTCTTCGTTGCTTGTCACTACACGTTCTTCTTATGAGTTGCTCGTTGTGGTTGCAGGTCTCCCTCCCTTTGCGTTCCCTCCGGCGCGGAGACCAAATGGGAAAAAAAGTCAGGGAACTTCTTCCAAATAGGGGCCGTGGCGCTTCCCCATTCAAAAAAAAAAAAAAAAAAAAGGAAAAAAAAAAGAGGTTAGGAGCGCATTTACATGGTTACACCAATATATATAATATATTATACAGAATACAAAAAGCAACAAGACACATCAGCATACAGAGAAGGGTCCAAAATCACAAAGACATACAGAGTGGGAGTGTAGCAGGCATGTGCGTCAATTCCTACAGTTTCCCTCATAGAGCTACAGCTCGACAGGCTGCGTAGCGTGCGAACTGCCGCAGTTCCTCCTCACTGTGTGCGCTGCCCAACACAAATGGGAGTGGCTCCACATTCACCGTGTCGGCAAATTTCCCCGATAACGTTTGCGGCGGCTGATGCAGTTCCGCAGCCGTGCGCACGTGAAACCATCCCTCGGATATAATTAAAATCTTTCGATGTAACTGAAGAGACTCCCGTTTCTTGTCCTCTGCATCTGCTTCAATTCCAACTCCACATAGGCATTGCAACAGGGCATTGAAGGTGTACAGACCTCCGTTGGGATACCACAAAACGTCATCATGAAATGCCAAGTCACTACTATTATTATTATCGTTATTAATGTGGCTCATAGCACTCGTCCCAGCAGTCGCAAGACTCCGCCACTTGACGCCTACAGCAGCTGTCAAGACACCAAGAACCTCCTCGTGACGCTCGGCGAGCATGGCCTTGACATGATCACAGATACATCCCATATGAAGCCCCACAGCAGCATTGTGCCGCGTGTGCGAATACAACACAAGCACCACAAGACGTCGAGGAACGGCCCTTGACACGTGTGACGGCTGCAGTAAAGCCTCTTGTATAATTCGTAGCGCCTCCCGTGCCCAACACAAACGCATCTGAACGTCGTTGTGAATCGTGTGGAACGCCATCTCTGCGTTGCCGTATGACTTATCCTGGTCACACTGACTCGTGAAGCGGCTGCTGAGGCGTCGATGAAATCGTACATCATCTCTTCTGCTCGACGGAATGTTGCGAGGGGGGAACGTCGACAAGTCCGTCTTTATGGCGGTCTGTGATGATGTGGGAGTCGACGAAAAAGGTGATGCCTCACATTTCGATCCCGCAAGACGTTGTAAGAAGAAACGCTCCGTCTCGACGAGATCTGGACGCAACGGCTTCGAGGCCGCCGCGGGTCTCTTATCAAATGTTGTCGTGTAACGTTTCTGCTTACACACGGCTCCCGAACTCATCCCTGAAATGACGCTGCAACACGGCATAGCCAACAGACAATTCTTCCGCCTAAAATCAAAAATCACTCTCACATCCCTTCTCATATATGTCTGCATGCACCCCCGTCAATGCCCTCCCCTCTATCTATCTCTCTCTCTCTCTCTTGTGCTCTCCGTCTTTTTTTTTTTTGTCTTTTTTTCACCGCGGTGGGACTTTTTGGTGTGAAGTAATGAGCGAAGGAAGGAAGGAACCGAGAGGGAACAACAGTGACAGACTCCTCACCCAATCCACCTCCTTCCTCACGCACGGAGAGCAGCAAACCAAAAACAAAACAAAAACAATAACAAAAAAAAAAAAAAATCAGATGCATGCATACTCTCCCTTCCTTCGCGTAGGCATCACACACACACACACACTGTCTCACTCTCTCCCCATTTCATTTCATCCGTCTTTTCGTTTGGTTTTTCTTTCAAAAATTTTCCCTTCACGTTTTTTTATCCGCACCCTCTGAACCGGAGAAGCAAACAGCAGCGTGTATGCACAGAGATCCACACCCGCAGAGAATACTTTGGCGAGAAATAAGAATAAGGAAAACAAACAAACAGGGTGTGGAAAGAGAAACACACACACAAAAAAAAAAAAAAAATGTCCAAAACTATTATTGGTCCTCACCTTCACCTCCAAAGGATCCAGGAAGGGACGTCGATGTCACCTTCCCGTCGTCCTCGTTCTCGTTGCTGGGGACGCCACTCACCTCACCAATGTCCTTTTCTTCTTTCTTGGACACTTTGTCGCCATCGCTGGGGGTAGTTTTCTGGTATTTTTCCATGGCTTCCCGGTCACGTGAAGCAATGTAGCGCTCAAAGGCATCATCTACGCTGCGAATCCCGCCGCGACCTCCACGTCTTCGACGACCGCCACGTCGGTATCCATAGCTGCCCACCGTGTCATCCTCGAGATCGCCATTCAGGAGGGCCTGGTATTGATCGTGTTGCCACCTGCCTTCCTCTTCATCGTCGTCAACGCCATTGCCGCGACGGCCCTTGGGCCCTGCACGATGCAAAAGCACAACGCCGTGATCACGGGAGAGGGAAACCTTAAGGACACTACTTTCAATTTGTTGACCGTTCATGTTCTGCACCGCTGCACTGGCGTCCGCGGGGTTGCGGTACGTGCACAGCACACTCCCAATAAAGCGTCCTGACTTTTCTGTAAACATTTTGTACGATTCCACAGGACCAAACGCCTCAAATTCAGCACGCAGAGCGTTGGCCCCATCCCGTTCAATACGCTCTAGTGGGATCTGTGTGATGTACACCCGGCACGTATTGTCAATAATGATACTTGTTGAAACCAAATCGCGATCGCTCCGCGTTACCGCCCGCCCCTCTCCAAGCGGGGTAAATGTGAGATTCCGTGCGCTTCCCGACATTCTATCGGCGTGGTCCAGACCCCTCCCAATGGATAAAATGTTTTCCCTCTTTTCTTTAACTTTTTCCTCGTACTGTTAAGTCTTCCCCAAAAATAATAAAATCACGTTTTGAACAGCCTTCTATTCTTCTTTTCTGGCGTCTAAATGTGTGCGTGTGAGTGAGTGAGAGTAATAAAAATTCACTCTGAGACCTTTTTTCTTTCTTTCGTTCTTCTCTTCCTCCAGGATTCAAAATAATATATAATATATATATTTGGTGTATACATGTGATGATTTAGGAAAGGGAGAGAAAATTTAAAAAAGGGTCAACGACGCTCATGGAGTAAAGACCTCACGTCATTTCATGTAAATAATATTGGGGAAAATGCATAAAACAAATAGTCATTTATTATTATTATTATTAAAAAGGGGGAGAATGTACACCAAGCAAAACAAACTGCGTGAGAGAAATGAGCCCTTCCATTCAGTTCCTTTCCTTCCGTCGCAGGCCATTGCCGTAGGCCTCACTGTACTGAAAACCACAAATATATATATGTATATGTATATATATACAACAGGCAAAGAAACAATAGACTCAAGCAATTGTGTTACCGCATCCAACAGCAAACAACAGAAACATCCTTTCCATCATGCTCTATTCAGCGGAAACCAAAGAAACAAACAAACCCCTCTTGTTTTCCTTGACTGTGCCACTCCCCCCCCTCTTTCCCTCTTTCTGGGCTTCCGTCGCCTTAGTGATGTGGTGTTACGGTGTGGCCGTCCACATACATGTTCCGCGTGGCACGTGGAAGCTGTATCTTCAGCCCGTCGTGCTTCTCCTTCACCAGCTTCAGCTGACACCCCAATCGTGAGGTGGACTGCGGGAAAAAAGCCATGTCAAGCATGTCATTCTCCTCATCCGTTGGATCATCGAAGAGCTCCATCGCCGCATCGTTCTCCAGGTACACGTGACACGTGGAGCAGGCACACGAGCCTCCACATGCTCCTTCTATTGGCAGCCCTTCTTCCATGGCAACGTCCAGAAGCGTTTGACCCTCGTACGCCTTCACATCTCGTGTAGTGCCATCCGGTAGCTGCACATGTATTGTGAGCTGCTTCTCGCGATCACCGGTAAAGTCGCTATGGAGTCGAATCGCATAGAAGAGTGTCGTGGTGAGAAACGGCACAAACTCCTGACCGCTGCTATAGATGATACCCCTCCTGGCACTACCGCTCTGAATTTTGCTACCACCACCGCATATAACACGACAAGCAGCGGGCACTGCGTGCAAACGCCACGCCAAAGAACGACTGGTGTGACTTGTTAACATCGCCGTATAAAACTCACTTTCTACTTTTTTTACCCCCCTAATCCCCTCCCCCTCTTCGGTTGCACGTGAAACCCTCGCCAGAAGGAGAAAATATAAATAAATGAATGTACGAGTAGTTGATGCAAATGCAAAGAACCGTATTTCGTTCCCTCCACCATTACGGAGCCCACACACACACACACACACACACAGAGAGAGAGAGAGAGAGAGAGAGAGAGAGAAGCCCCCCTTACTTTTTATGGTTGTCGCACTCCAAAGAAAAAATAAAAATAAAAATGAATTGAATTCAAAGACACATCCCACATCTACAGCTGCCTACCAAACAAACAAAACCAACAACAACAACAACAAAAAAGACCACCAGTATTCATATATATGTTTTTTATTTATTTCTTTTTTGCTCCTCCTCCACTTATTTTTATTTTGTTTTCCTCTTACCACGACGCACGCACGCATGCATATATATATATATCTCCTTTCTTCCTCTTCATCCGCCTTCTCGTTATTTTTTCCGTTTACATGGAGGACCGCCGTGTAATGTCCACCATTTAGCAGAAGGAAGAAGTGCTGCACTTATTGCTGTCAGTTCTTCCTTCATTTTTATGTCTTCTTATTGTTTACTTTAAAAAATTTATGTGAACGGCATTGTTAATCATTACTCGCCGACAGGAGAGAAGTACAGTACCGGTAGGCAAAAAAAAAAAAAAAAAAAAAGAAGAGCTGCAAAAACACCCGACAAGACGATTTACGTTTTGTTTTTTTCTTTTCTTCCATCTCCTCTTTTCATCTACTGCGCCTTCTGTTGGTTTGACTTCCTCCTGTCCCTCACTGTCACCCGCTAATTTTGTGTTGGGTGTTTGTGTGCCGGCAACACCCAACAGCCTACGCCTCCTTCCCTGGCAGGCTCGGCGCAAATTCTTCGAACAGAAGGCGACCCGTCTTCTCTGCGCCAAATTCAAACAAAGCGAAGATGCCAACAGACACCAACGCCACGACCAAAAGAGCAAGTTCCACGATGAGAGTCCTCGAAACAAAGAGGCTCATCACCTGATCGTAGGGGCCCAAAAGCACCACACCAGGCAGCTTGAGACGAAACGTTGACACCGAAACACTCGTCGAAACGGCATGACGAGAGGCAAAAGTGGCAGCAGAGGACCTCATGTGTGCCTCAAGCGTTTCCGCGTACTTCAGTGAACCCGCACCTTCGCTAAAAACCGGACCGCGCTGAAGCTCGGAGGCGTGACGCAATTGACCCATCATGTACGCGGCACTGCCGACCCACGTCCGTGTCCCATTGGCTGGAGAGTGGCCTAGTATTTCCCTTGCAAAGGCATACACAAACTCTACACGGCGGTTCAGTGCCACGAGAATGTTGGGCATTTTCGAGCTGATGGTGCCGGCCGTGTGGTTAATGCTAGATAAAGGAATGGGCGCGCGGCCGCCACGGAAAGCTTGGTCGATGCGGTAGGTACGAACAGAAGAAAATGTCACGGCGGGTATCTGCACATGCCCCAGGACCTCATGCTCAAACTGCACATCATAGTGGTGGTAGTTCGTCCTTGCGGATAAAACAGTCAAAGCAATCCCATGACGGGCAGCCGTGGCCTCCGCCGTCTCCTTCACCACGGCAAACTGTGGGCTCTTAGCAAATGACTCGTCTGCATGCATGAACAAACTTGTGGCATCGTTGTTGTTTCCATTCTCACTTTCAGGGTCATCGCCATCGGTGTCAGAGAGTAGCAACTCATCCAGGCATATCACAAGTTGATATTGATCAATTTCACCCTCTTCACGCGACGCAATCCATTTAGATGTGCCGACGTAATTAAACCGAGCGGTGTTACCCAGCAGCACAGAGAATCCAAATGGCAATGATGGTGGCTCTGAGGTTTCATCTCCTTTGCTGTCGGCCATCAGGGAAGCCCCCGCATTAAATCTTCGCCAGAGTTCAAGCGCGGCAGCTACGCCAGAGGCTCCACCTGTGGTAGAAGCAGACGGTGCAACACCGAGTGTGTCAAATGACGCCGTGATGAGCACTCGCGGCACCTCCGACGACTTCTTCACCCCCTTTGGCCTGAAGTTAAGAGAAGCATACAGACTGATGCTCATAACGGCATTGCTGGTTACCGGCGCAACCGCCTTCTCGCTTTCCCCAACGGAAATAACGGCATACTCGCTAGCGTTCAAAGTTTTAAGCGTCTCGGTCAAACGACGCGCGGCCACGCCGTCCTGCGGGAGAAAATACACCGGAAACCGCATGATACCACGTGCAAGATAATACTGGAAAAAGTTCTCGTTGTGCGTGTCGACAGGTGACAGGGCAACCACGATGCCTCTTACAGGCAACTCCTGCAACATTTCCCACTGCCCCGTCGTCATGTGCTGCTCCGTCGGAATAAAAACTGTCTGCTTCCTGTGAGAGGCAATATTGGCGGGGTTGAACAGCGCAATACTGCCACGCAGCAATGAAACCTGTGAGCCAAATGACACCACCGAATTTTCGCTGTTTGAAAGACGGCGATCATAGGAAATGGCATGGTGAACAACCGTTTTAAGCACGTGTCTTGCTGCCGTTACTGGCTGTACAATTGTCCCCGAAAAAAAGAAGGAAAACTGCAACAACAGCAACGTACACAAAACCAACAAAAATGGCTGCCGAGACCTAAATGATAGTGGCGACATCTGTGAGTTCCACATTTCACACAACTCCCTACACACCACACGTCAAAGCACAAATAATAAAATGTATGTTGCTTTAAGTGCTAAATAGATGCGTGTTGATTTGAAATATCAAATGGGAGTGGTCAAAACGCACACACACAAAAAAAAAAAAAAAAAAAAAGATTAAAAAAAACCCTTGTCTATATGGCCTTAAAATAACTCCCCACACATGCAACTGCTACAACGCAATATTTCTTGATGCACACAATAATGCCTAGGAAGAAGAGCAAGTGGATAAATGCAGGATGGGAAGCAAAAATAAATAAATAAATAAATAAGAAAATAAAACGACAACAAAGGAACACCATCCCAATAAAGTCATAAAAGAGTAAATACCGATATGTCAGCCACATTGAATTTCCTTTTCCTCATCAGAGTCCCCTTTTTCTTCATCCTTCCCTTTCAGTGCCATCAGAATCTAAATCTACCTTATATATATATATATATGCAAGCACCCAGCAAGATTTCTAGCTCTAGTCTCTCTCTCTCTCTCTCTCTCTCTGTATATATACATATATAGTCCCTTTCAGGCTTCGCAGCCATCGCATCCCGTGGCATTTATTGTCTGCTGCCCATTTCTCCTGCCATTCCGTTCGACAGACAAAGTCTCTTCCTTCGCGTGGCAGGAGTCTGCCAGGCAGCAACTCTCCACCTCTAGTCGATGTCGTTCCAATATGCCCTCACACAATTTTTTGTACTCCTGACATGTCTCTTGAATGAGTAAAAGAGACGCCTCTGAAATGGGCATGTGTGTTTTGTCTTGCACGGTTCCCTGTGTTTCCTTTTGTCGTCTCTGCCGATAGTGGCGTGAAACTTGATGACATCCCGCCGTTAATACCGTCTGCAGCGCCCGACGCACATTGCTTTTTTCCCCATCACGGATATCATCAAGAGCATTTCTGGACTCCCCACCAGCTTCACACAAAAGCGTCTCCACCACAGCTGTGATATGTCGCAGTACTGTATCGGCCTCGCTTTGCAACACGTGCTGCAATTCTTCAACGATACGACGCTGCTCGCTTAGGCAGGCGTTGTGTCGCTTCTGCATATCCCCAAGCTCCCGCCGCAGAGCGGCACTATACGCCTTCACGGCCTCCAGCTCCCTCTCCACATCTTGCTGAGAATCCATCTGCTCGCGTTGCGTCTTCTCCCACTCCTCCTGCAGTGATGTGTAATTCGCACGTGCCGCACGCAACGCCTTCGTTAACGGCGAATTCAACGTCACGCAATACACCTCGTCCTGCCATTGTTTCCAGAAGCTCATAAGACGTTCCATGTATTCACGCTCAATGCGAGCACGACAAAGACTCTCTTCTTCCTTCAAAGTTCGCCGGACGCTAAGGCGCAACGCAACATGCAACGGCGCATCATACGAGAGAAACGTCCGCGTTGTCGGCCTCGTTATGCGAGGTTCTTTTTTCTCTTTTACGCTCGAAATACGACGAACAGATTCACGCGCCATATCCACTACCTCTTGCAGCCGCCGCGCCCTTTCTTCCAATAACAACAATTCATGTCGCTTCTTCTGAAGCATCAGCGTCCTTGCTTCATCCATATCCATTTGAGTTACATGCGTTCTTTCGATTGAAGCTTCATTCCCTACTCGGTGCAACTGTGAAATAAAGGCCTCTCTTGTCTCTTCCTCCTCGAGGCACTGAAGTTCCTTCGTCGAGGCATTGATGTCTTCTTGAATCTGACGCAGCTCTTCGTGTGACCTCGCAGTCTCCAGGCGACGCTGCTCTGCCTGCTCCTCGCAAAAATGTTCCATCTTTGACTCTTCCTCCTCTTGCTGGTGCGCCAATGCTGCCATTTGCGACTGAATGCTACGTCGGAGTTGTTTCCTCACATTTTCATAATGCTCGCTAATCTGTTGTGGGGTAAACTGTGGTGACTTCTCCCGCCGCTCCTTGTCTTCCTCATGGTGTCGTTGCAGTCGAGTCTCCTCAGAAAGGTTCCCACCGCTGACATGTTGCATTCTCTTCTCTTCGGCCTCGATGGCATGGCGCAGAAACTCAATATTTCCATTGATGGTAGCCGCCTCCTTCTGCAGCGTGTGTTCTTCACGCTCCAAAAGTGCGTGACGCTCCATCGCACGTTGTGCCTCCAATTCCGCGTGCATCAGCCGCTCCTTTTCCAAGATTATTTGCTCCCGAAGATGCACAGCGCCGAGGCGGGGGGAATACAAACTATTACGTGGTAAGGCCTTTTCTGAGGAGGTCCGTGATGTGCACCGTGATGCACACAGCGACATTCCATTTGACCCGTCTGGGAGAACATCTTCTTTTGTTGCGGCTTCCGACGATAGAGACGCTCTTTGTGGTTCTGCTGGCGTAATACGCCGTACAGTCGTGCGGCGCCGTTGAGTCGGTTTCACTTCCTCGTGTTCCGCCCCACGTGTCGGCTTGCTGGCGGCAAGACTGCAGTCACGAGGCAGTGCTACGGTAGCCTCTCTGCATGTTGGAACGTCCAGCAAACGCTGCAGCAACGATACAAAGTCAAGAGGGTCCTCCCACTGATGACTGCCGACGCGAACGCACCATCCCCAGTTTGGTGAAGTACTGCCTCGTGGTGTGCTCGGTGTCTGACACAGGGTTTCGTTAAACGATAGCCCCAGTTTCACAGACTCTATGGAATGAAAAAAGGACAGCGGAGGACCTTGTGATCCGCAAAGTTGGTTTGAGCATGTCAAGGCTTTGGTGAAAAACTCCGTATGGGTGTCATGAACGATGCACACAACATACGAGATGCCCCGTAATGTAAGCCAAAATACGTGCGAGAGATGCTCACGTGCTCGACTAAATGAAGGTGTCACCACAACCCGCTCTAAGTGCTCCACAAAACCACGAACATCGTAAATGATCAGATGCTCAAGGGGTGCCGACGGGGAGACGGTAGCCCCCGCATCCACTTCCTGCGATGCGTCCCGCTCCGTATGGATCGGAACAAAAGGCGCCACTAAATCTACCACAGGTGTGTCAAAGGAACGCACGGCAAACCATCGCAAATGTATCTTGCCAGATGACTTAAACGCAGATTCATGTGGAAAGGTTTTAGAGATACGCACCTCCTCGCGCAGTAAAAGCAGCTGTATCAACGCTGGTAGAAAACCGCCGCCGTACCACCCCAAAGCGTCATTGCCGATATATTTTGGCGTGCGACGATCGACTGGGGCGGTAAGCAGTGAGCCCTCGTCGCTGCTGGAGTATCCACAGTCAACCCAGAGAAGCCCGTTGCCCGCAGAAACATGACGATCCACAAGCGGGAGAAGATCCGTGACTGTGGGTGGTATGACCTCCGCATTGGGTAATGCGTTCAGCAGCCGGTCAAGCAGCCGTTCCCCCGCTTCCTGCTCCCTTTTCCCACTAATAACCCCGTTGATGACGCGTACCGCCACAAATGCCATTCCATCGGATTCCCTCGCACGGAGATCAGCCAATGTTAAGGACACAAAAAACAACAACAAAATAAAACCACACACACACAAAAAAAAAAAAAAAAAAAAAAGAAAAAAAAAGTAAAAATAAATCAAAGATACACAAAACCGCGGTGATAAAGACAGACACACAAACAGAGGCCAACAAGTGTGTCATAATAGCAATACAGTAATACTGCCCCCAAAATACAATCAACGCCAAAATCGCCAGAAAATTTTTTCTTCCTTTACTGTGGACATGAGTATGTAAGATGTATACATACTTACGCACACACACAGCAAAGAAAAACAACAACAAAAAAACCAACAATGAAAAATAAGTAAATAAATACGCACGTCCTTCCTCATGTAGTTTGTGTCGTTGCGTCCCCCGGCTCCACTTCTTCCGGAATGTCTGGAAACTTGGGATTGTGTGGGTCAATCTTCACCATGTACTCCAAGGACTTACTCTTCTGCTTGGACAGCTTCCCCTCTGTAAGAATAGGCTCTAACATATACGGGTCGGGTGGGGAGCAGTTGGCAAAGGACACCTCCGCTGAATCGCATAGTGCCATAATTTCTTCCTGAGGTACAGGGAGCTCACCATTTTTAGCGGGGTTTAACTCCGTCGCTTCGTGAAAGTAACGTGAAACATGAAATCCCGCCAGAACAGTGTCGCAGCCGTATGTTGCAAAATTTAAAGCCTTTTGATTTAACATCGGACACATCGCCAGCGTCGGACTGACGCGATCAATCGCATGACTCTTTTCAAGTGCATATTTGCCAAATTTATGCTCAAACATGCGTTTGCGCAGCCTAAGCATGTCGTTAACCAACTGTTCGTATTGCTTGCACCACTCCTTGAGATCCGTTGAAGAGGCCTCTTTAAAACGCATCAATGCACGCCTGAATCGTGGTATCATGTAATAAGTCGCCCAACTGGTAAAAAAAAATAAATTATTGAACTGCCGCTGTGCCGCAAGGTATACACTTGCGACAAAAAGGTGCTCTAGTGGAGGAAGCGTCGATGGACCTTTTTCAATGGAGTCCTTTACCTCCATTTCCTTCAACACACAACGTTCACAGACAGTGAAAAAGTTCATGCGAAGTGATTTAAGATCTGCCTCCATGGGAAAGTTATGGTAGCGTTGTGGAAGTTCCATCAGATCTGTTGCCTCCAACGGGCTATAGCCTAGTGCCGTGAGTCCCAGCGCCCTTGTGAGTGAGTACAGGGTGTGATTGCCATCATACGGTAGTGGTTTATTAAGCGCCTGTGAAAAGGTCAGGTTGAATGGATACTGCACAAAGCGAAGGTGGTGGTTGTCACCCCCAGCACGCCGGGCAAGTTCCATGATACGGTATAAATTAATGACAGGAGGAAGCGGTCGCCTGTTTCGAATATGATCCGGCACCATTGCATCCGGTGGAAGTGGTGGGTAGTCCCGCTGAATGTGAGGAGCCAGATAGGGTGATGATATGCCGTAGTACTGCAACACACCGAGTCTCACTTGATTTTCAAGGTACGCAAAGATTTGCAAAATGTCATCATCAATGTGTGCATTTGGGCGTTCATCAAAGAGGGTGTGAAACCCATCGAGTAATAAAACATCGATGCACTCCAATTTCGTGTTGTAGGCGACATTCGTAAAAAATGCCTCTAACCATTCCGGCGAGAGACCTGCCGCAGCCGTCTTCGATACACGGCGAAGATTTAAGCGTGCCAGCTGATCCTCCGTTAAATCGCTAATACGAAACCCAGATTTGAGCTGCATCGATGGAAGAGAAGCTGCCTTGTAGCGCTCAAAAATAGGGACAATGCGGTTACGCACCACTGCCGTGTTGGAGGTCTCCACCTGCGTCAACTCCTCTTGAAATGGTTGCTGCTTAATGATGCCGCAACGGAATACAATGACAAATCCATCCCGTTCCAATTCAAACGCCTGCAAAGCTTCATAAAAGGCACGGGCAACACTCTGATGAACGTCTGACATGCTTCCGTCAAGCTCAAATACGTTGCATCCCTTAATGATTTGTAACTGCAGGGACTCAACAGCCTCATTGATGTCGTTGGGCATCTTACATGTTGCACTTCCCAACTTTGACAAGTGAAACCCCACCGGCGCCGGGCAAATATGACGCCAGTTTTCAAACGCGGTTGACCGATCACATGTGTACTTCGTCCCGCCCACCGTGGCTCTTCCCAAAATGGGTACCGCTTTGGACTCACGCGCATCCGCCTGACCCTGCGGCCCCAACATGCCGCGTATGGCGTTCTGAGCCCGATTGCCATAAATTCCATTGATGCCTGCCGTCTCAGAAGTGCGTGCAACAATATTCTCCCCATCGGCATTCTTCTTGCCTATCCCACCCGTCGGTAGGTTCATCTCATTTCCTCCGTTCCCAAAATTTGAGGCATGCCGTGCGTGGAGATGAAGCGATGAAAACACTAGCCCCAGTTGACGGACGCCAAACATACGACTTCGCAACGTCAGCATCATTATTGTCAATGCAAGTGCGTCAAAGTATCTAGATTATAAAACAACAACAACAACAACAACAACAAGTAAAAAAGATGCCTTTTGAATCCCCACCCTCTTCGTGTCCCCGCCGTGTCACCTCAGTATAATTTATCGGCAGTGAGGCACACGGGTGTGGTGGTAGTGGTAAGAAGAAAATAAAGGCCAGGGACAGAGAAAGTAAAATTGCCTATAAATGGCACGTCCACAGCAAAAAAAAAAAAAACAAAAAAAAAACGCGAAGGCAAAACTCGTGCCTTTAAAACATTGTGAGTGGTGAGGCCCTGTTCCGCCCCGTTCAGGGCAAAAAACAACTGAATTTGGGGGGAGGGAGGCTGGGGAGAGGTGCAGCTCTACGTGGGTGTTTAACGCTCCATTTCTCATTCTTTTTTTTTTTTCACTTCACCGGCTGCTCGCATTGCCCTGAATAAATCCGTCAAAGATACACACACACACACACACTCTCCCTTTCGCTCTCTCTCTCTTCCTCTCTCTCTCATCCATGCGTGTCATTCAAAATGCAACGAGATGATTTTATTTACATATCCCGCAGAGAAACAAGCAACAAATGTCAAACAAATAATAAATAAACAGAAAAAAAAAAAAGAAGAAAAAAGAAAAGGAAAACCAGCACCGCACTACACATAAGCACAATAACATGTGCGTATGCCTCACAGATTCCTTCGACACATACAAAAGTACATGAGAGAAAATGCAAAAATAAGAGTGAGTGGAAATTCCAAATCTTTTTAACAGACAAATAAATTACGTACATGAGCAAAATTGGTATTAATGTCTCATTGCCATGTTTATACCTCGACGGGTAATAAACATAGTAAAGCATACGCACATCCGCTCGTGCTCTCTCTTTCTCTCCCTCTTTTTATTTACATATAAATATATATAATTTTTTTCGTGTTTGACTTGTTTCTTTGCTAATATACCAAGTCTGCATCAATCGTCTAGCATGCACAAAAGCGCCACACCACGTCTTACCCAGTGCTCCGGTGTCGCCGCACCAGCGTTGAGGTCGAGCAACACAACAAAATTTGTTGAAAGCCCCGTTGTCGACAAGGCGCCGGCACGGGCACATGTTTTGTAAACAGGACACTCGTACGTTTCCCCAGTCGAGACGTATTCCTTCAGCCGCACCGGATCTAGGTGGATCACAGGCATGGATGTATACAATTCGCGCGGTTGACTCTCTTGAAGAACCAACGAATCCAGAGAAAAACATGCGCCCTCCAAAAAGAGGCCGTGAACCAGCACGCCGGACGTTGGGGTCGTCACGATGTCTTCTACCAACTCGTACCGCGTCACATTTGTGCGGAAGCGAATATCATCAATTGGAATCTTGTGCTCGCGGCTGTGGGCCTGCAGAACACCTGTAAGAAACCCTTGCGGAAAGAAAAAGCCGGAGAGCCAAAAGCTCATTGGAATCCCGTGGTCATTCCAGTCTCGGAAAAACTCTACACGCTTCAATGTGTCTTGAAACCACGACGCCAATGGCTTGCGCGACAGATAACCTCCCTCATGCCACACTTGAGGCACCTGCCCGAGAAGACATGCATCAAACATGTCTTCCAGCTGCAATGACATAACAACCTCCCCTTTAATGCCACGCTTAAGCTCCAACAGTGTCCGCCGTAACTTTTTCACAATGGCGTTAAAAACATCAATCTCCTGACTTACCACAGTGCCCAATGAGATCATCGTACCATCTTCAGTGATTTGGTACGTCTCAGAACTTGCCTGACTCTTATCAATCAACGGTGGGAGATGATTTTCAAACTCATCCACCATATCCAAAACCTTTTCCTCCGGAGTCCGTCCCATTGCTTCTTTGCTGCGAGGTTGCACAGAAAGAATGGCGGCCAACTGACTGCGAACTGTGGCACGGTTATACATAATATCGGCGTTGGCGTGCAGTCCAAACAGCTCTGGACTTTCAAAAGGTGGAAGATTTGCCAAATATTCTTTCATCACATCGAGCGATTCCAGCTCTGCCGGGATGCAGTAGACACCATCTGCTGTAATGTTGAATTGTCCCGGCTGCACAACGTCCTCGTTGAAATACGCTTCAAGGATATTCACAAGCGAACGCGTATCGAGGAAATCCGTGACACGCCCACCGTAGTTGATGATACCAACCATATAACGTAGAGCATTCCACGGTAACTGTACCGCCGCATCTTCTGGAATATACTCTGAAATGGAATGTAGAGCCGCAGAAAAATCCGATTGATTCCACTGATATGGGATATTCCAACCAAGCGCACCAAACTTACGCCGCTCCTGTATCACTGCATGAAAATATGTAAGTGAGCACAACAAACGGCGCCACGGAATCGAATTCTCTGGGTGACTGTCCCACAATTCTGGCGTCACCTCAATGGAAAAGCTGTCACGAATGTTTGCCTTCAGTCCCTTTGGTGGCTCTTTCACTAGTTTCACGCCAGACTGTAACAGCAACACGGGAAAGCTAGACGTCGGCATGGTCGTAAGCCACAATCGGAAGTCAGTGTGCACTTTAGAAGATATCTGTAACTCCTCCAAGCAGCGCTCAAGTGACGGCATCCACGATTCGTACACGTGACAGTTTTGCAAATATACCCACATGCCTTCAGAAGATCCTTGTTGAATCATCGCTTCCGCCTTCGGTCCCTGGTCTTGGCCCAACGACAGTGTCAGTTTTTTCTCGCCAAACCCTTTACGTTCTGCAAATTCTGTAAACAGTACTGTTGGGTCGCTTCCGGGTGTTAAAACAAAAATAATCGGCGCCGTCGGGCTGCTGTCCGCAAAACACGCCTCAAGATCAAATGCGGGACTTTCGGTAAATGCCTTTCCAAGGTAATGTGCACAGATAAAAGAGAGGCCGTGACTTGTCAAATCCTCACGGCATGCCTTCAGCACCAACAATTTCTGAAATGGAGTAAGGAATTGAATGGAGTCCGGGAACCACTCATACGCCTTGTCACTAGAAAACCAGTTGGACCAATCTGCCTCGTTGTCGTACACGTTGTCTTTAATTTCGGCAAATACATCAGGGACCGCCTCTGCCAGCGCTGTCAATTCATTCCACGCCGCCTCATGCATCCATGCCGGCCAAATATCAGTCTCGGGGTCCACAAGCAAACGGCCCTCACTGCCCTTCAATAAGAACTCCCACTCCACTTCACGTACCACTCCCTCCGGCCGAAATATTTGCACAAACATCATGACCACAAAAAGCAGTTTATCTTTTTCAAAAAGCCCACGGCAAACGGTACTATAAAAGTTGAGCGTCATAGCAGGTAACAATAGGGCAATTCGCTTATCAACGTCATCTGCCTTCTCGGTGCGTTGAAGTGATTGCACAAAGAGTTTTTTAAAAAAATCGAGAGAGATTTGGTACATATGGTCAAGACCTGAAAGCTGTGAAATGACAGTGTAGATGATAGCACCGCGTGTGGCCACAGGACGGTATCGATTACGCGCCAATTCAATGTCTTTTTGTGTTCTTTCAGACACCTCAAGTGAAGTCGTCACCGCCTCACTTGTCTCTTTCGCCTCCTTCAACGTGTTCACAAGTGGTTCATTGTCAAGAATATTACCGGTCGAAGATGTGAGCAAATGCAAGATGCGATCTTCAATCTCCTTGAGCTGGTTCCTCCCATTTGCAATATCCATCACGGTTTTAGTGGCTCTTGTTTCAAGTTCCGCGTACTCATACCGCACCACATCGGCCAGCAATTGATTCTCTAATCCTCCTTGTGTGACGGTAAAGTTAATTACCGTCACTTTAATCTGCAATTCGGGTAGGTAGTGTGGATTAGGCAGTTTACTTGTCATGTATAGACGAAATGACGGATCATAGTCCAGTTCCGTGTCACCCAACTTTAAAAGAAGTCGCCCCTGTGATCGATACGTTTGGCAAAGTAGAACCGGATCAAGTGTGGCATCTACCGTTTCCTCGACATTCTCTACTAGTACTGGAAGTCCCATACGAATTGCGTTTTCCAACACCCGCATATAGGAAGGGTCAGTGAGTTTTATAACGCGGAGGCTACTGTTACGTTCCATAGCACGAATCCAGTTGTTCGCTTGCCCTTGTGGGTCGATGCAAAGACACCAACGTTTGGACTTATGCACAATCACACCATTCTGAATGCTTACAGGGTCTTGTGGAAGTCCCTTATTGGTCCATTGTTGAAGCTGCAAAGGGGTAACAATACTAGTAAGATCAAATGTGGTGCTGCTGATGGGGACCCCCAGCTCCTTGCACTTTTCCCACCATTTCTGAACCATACGTGAGCGGTATGGGGCGGTGAATGGGCCCAGATAGGCAACAAATCCAGCTGCAAGAGCGATTTTTCCTGGCAAACCCTTTGTTTCGTCAAGTAGAAATTCAATTGCAGTCGACCAGCGACTCTGCTCTCGCGACAGCCCACTCATCAACTGCTCCGCACGATCAAGTCGCACCATGGTGAGTTGAATATCTTCCTCAAGCCGCTCCTTCTTCTCAATGTTCTCTTGCATGGTACGTTTAAGCTCGTTGATTTTATTTTCAATACCCTTTAGCCTTTCCTGCGCTTCAAAGAGAGCATTATTGGCGACTTTAAGTTTCGCCTCTGCCTCCGCAAGGCGTTCTCGCTTCGGTGCCACCACCTTCACTACTTCGTAGTAGTTGTTGATGGCCAATACCCACATGGAGAGCGACTTGCACGCCTTGGAACTCTTCGCCACCTCCTCTGGCTGAAAGTCGGGGTTGTTGATGTACTTTTGTATGGATCGCACGACCCGCTCGGTCAACTCATCCCTCTTGTAGTTTTGTAGATCCTTTATAAAATCCATACGACCCATAACAAGCTTGGCGCGATCCCAGCTGAGATCACGTTCTCCCAATAAAATAAGCACCGCCTCAAGCACAAGTACAACACGGGCTGCTGGTTTTTGAAAACTCTTCACCTCGCGGATATCATCCGGCCGTAGCTCCGCAAGAGCATTCTCCGCGGCTCTCAGAATAGGCAGCGCCTTATCGAGCTCCACCTGACACTCTGCACGAATGCCATCTGCCTCGTGACGGATGCCCATCGCCACCTCCTCCTCTTTTGCACACTCCGCTCGCACCACCTGCGCAGATCCCTGTTCATGTTGCACTTTCTCCATAATTTCTTCTGTATCTTTTGCCGCCTGTAGCAACTTGGGTTGCATTTGAACCAACTGCTCCTTCATCTCATCAACCAGCACTTGAGTGCTCTGCAATTTGTCAAGACCACCCTGATAGCGCTTCACCTGTCCTGAAATTTGTTCACTCTGTTCACTCAGTAACCTTCGATAGCACGTAAGCAACTCCAAGTAAGAGCTTGGTGTGGTGTAGTTGTGACGGCGTAGTTCCTCAAAAAATTCCTCGGAGCGTTCCTGCACGTCTACATGAATGGAAACACAGAGCTTGATAAGACGTTCCTTCATTTCCTCCTCTAACGTCAATTGCGTGAAGATGCGTGAGGCAACGGAGTTCAAGGCATCTACGGGCCATTGATCAAACCAATCGATTGTACAACAGTTCACTAGAGACGGGAACATTCGCAGACGCCGACGGAATGGCTCGCCAACAGGAGACATGGTCAGTACAACATGCACGTTATCACGACAAAGTGAAACAAAATAAGAGAAGATGACATTTCGTGTTTCTTTTTTACCAGCCGCGGTGGCGAGAGGTCGAACTGCCTCGACAATTTGATCCACATCCTCTTCTTGCATCAGTCCTGGTACCTCACCGGTGTTGAGTAGATTGTTGAGATCCTCAAGCATCTCCTCCCAAATAATTTGAGCGTCAGACAAAAAGAACAGCACGGGCTGTTTCTTGCACCCACTTGTCAACAAGATTGTCTTCATACAATCACGGAATTCCGTCATGCTAAACGTTCGTGTGATGGATACCTCGTGCACCGGTAAATCACAGATGAATGCGGCCAGTTTACATAAAGACTGCCGTCCTGTACCGCCCATTCCCACCAGTAGTGCATGTCCACGAGGTTGCCTGAAGATGCGACACATACGTGTAATATGATGGATGGCATCCTTAAAAAACACCAACTCTATTGTTTTGTTGCAATCAATCGCGTAATTTTTCTGGTACTCTCCAAGTGTCTCTTGAAGGGAATCCCCAATGACAATTTCCTCATACATGGCGCGATCCCGCCGCATGTAATCTCCAAAGAGAACATTTTCAAACTCTGGGTCCCATGGCATTTGGAGCACATTACTCGTCACCTCGCCCAGCGCTCCCCACCACCACTGACGGTCATTTTCATCGATAAGGCGATCATGAAAGACGCGACTGACCTCATGAACAAAGGCGCGAAGCACACTCCCACGTGTGGGTGCACTATGCGGTGATACCTGCATAATTCCCTGGACAACCTTACTGAAATCACGCAAGTTGAAGGTGTAATGTGACCGCTTCGGTGTGGGAAGTTTCTCCCGACTGATACGATTGTAGCATTGATTGATGGCGTTGACCAAATCTCCTGACAAATTCTTGACATCTGGTTCTTCCCATGCTGAAAAAAAGCCATGTAAAATGCAACCAAAGATGCGACGAATAGAGTATTCACTAAATACTGGCTGGCATAACAAATGAAATCTTGAAACCAATCGCTTTGTCATCTCATTCCTACCTCCACCAGGCACACCACACGCGGCAAGGTAAACAATATCATGAATCTCCTTAAATGAGGCAGGGGCTTTGCGTTTGTCATAGAACCCACCTTGTGTGATAAGCTGACGTAACAACTCCAACGGAGGTGATGCTCCATATTTTTCAAGAGCCGGCATATTAAGATCATCAATCATAAAAACGACTCTTTTTCCAGGCGATGGACCGAGCGCATTGCTCCGTGTCTTGTGCAACTTCCCTTCCAGCCGGTCTTCAATGTCACGAGCACGACTCTGTGCACTCAGAACGGTCGCAAAGTAATCCCAGTGGCTTGATGGATCATCGCCATGCAATACACTTGTTACAAAATTCATCATGGACAATGATTTTCCAGTGCCCGTTACACCATTTATTAGAACATGCCGCGAGCTCGCCACGAGAACACCAAGCAATGTTGTTACACTAACAGTCTCCACTGTGGGGACGATTAGTTCAAAGTAAGGCACATCAAACCTAAAAAAGAAGCTTGGTACCAAATGGCGCCATGTAACAAACCTCATGGATGGCTTGTGCACCACGTAATCGTAGACACTGAGGTGATCGTCCATAGACATTTTATCCGGCAACAATTCCACAAACCGTTTTTTCACAAAACGATTAAAAACCTCACGTGACTCTTCCGAGAGATTACCACCGACAGACCACACAAACGACATTAAAAAATACATATCAAACAATGCATCTTCATTGGTCGGTACAGTCTCATCTGTAATGGTAGGAGGGCGAAATTCATCCGGTTCACCTACGGGAGGTGCAGCATGGGACACTTTTTTTTCCACTTGTTTCGGTAATAAATCATCGTCTTCATCCGGTTTCATTTGGGCGTCTTTTGATCGCAAAACATTTGGTAATAGACTCTCATCATCCAGCGTTCGTATAAAAGAGGTGAGTAATTCTATGCATGAAACAGCCAACTGGGCATCCACAGATACAATCCACTCACGGCATTCCTTCCGTATAAAATCAAGCGACATGGGAAGAAATTGATTGAGCAGCTCTGTCATGCGTTCTGCGCGAAACTTTGGAAACAATGCAGCCTTTTGTGCTATCAAGGTTTTCGCAATTGGAATCCAACCACGCCCACCATCCATGTAATACGGTTCCAAAAAAACCATACCACAACGAGAGACAGTGGCGGGAGAGGCAACTGCCAAATCTTGAACTTCAAACATAAATGTCGCCGTCGGTGGGAGTTTAATACGCTCACCATTAAACAAACAAAGTAGTTTGTTATCATCAAGGACAGTGTTCATGTTTTCAATCCAGATTGCATCCACAGGACCATCAAAAACGATCCATTGACGATCGGCGGAGTGCTGCGCATCACGCGTAACACCTCGTGCGATATTACTAATGATACCATCCGTCCACTCACGTGTAATTTCATTGACCTGCCCATACAACTCACCCATTGTGACGGATTTGGGATTAAGTAAATGAATATGTACACGGTTAAATAGAGGTGTAGCACCTTCTGGATCGTGACCATCCAGCTTCAACTGGGTCAAAGCACCTTGAACAATGCGCAAAACAGTCGTTTTTCCGCTGTATGTTTGACCAACAAGCATCACACCGTGACGGACTACAAGTGTATCGTAAAGCTGCACCGCCTTTGTTACCAAACCATCTATAACCTGTAGACCCTCTTTTTCCATTTGCTCCTTCACATAACGAAGAAGCAAATCGTTTTGCGATTCTTCAATCGCGATAGTAGGAAAAAGATCTTTGATAAGTGCCATGAAAAGAACAGTATCTTCACGAAGGAACTTCGGTACATTGGCGTCACGCATGGCCCGAATCAACAACATATTTTCACTTTCGTTAGGATACTGTCGCTTTAGACCGCCGGCCAAGACAAGAATTGACTTTACCGCACGCATACCAAAATCGTAGTGGTCCTGCTTTGATAATTGCTCAGAACTCAACTTGTAGAGTTGTACCATCTTTCGAGCCAATGTTCTTGCATCGGCAAAACCTTCCGAGTAAAACATGATTTCCGCAATAAGGGCATAGTCAGGAATCATCATACATATCGGACGGAACAATGCCTTTAGGTTGTCTGGTAATTCAGTACGACCGGCGTAACCAGGATTCATAGTGATAAAAACACCAAAATTTCTACTCAGTTTAATTGAGTGCCCATCGAAGTCCATGCGCTCCAGATTTTGTGCAAGGGCAGTAGTGATATCAAGCATCTGCTGTGCCACAACAGAAAGCACTTCTAATTCGATACGGTTGAATTCATCGAAGCACGCCCATGCACCTGCCTGAGCCAACCCGGCAAACATTCGAGACATGGTTTTATAATTGATACCATCGGAACAATTAAACACAACCACTTGTCTTGCAAGTGCCTTACCCAGGTCTTTTACAGACTCCGTTTTTCCAGTGCCAGCGGGCCCCTGAGGAGCAGCACCAAGATTCATCGACAAAGCGCTTGTACAAGTCAAGAACGCACGATCTGTCAAGGGTGTAATTACAAGACGTGGTTGATTACCCAAATACTCGTAGCCATACCAAAGATGTGCTCCACAATGTCGGATCGCAACACTCATATTTGAATTGACCGCGCCAGTGGCTTCCCAGTAGTAACGAAGTTGCTGGGCCCACGCAAAATCACCAAGGGATGTAACATTACCTTCATTTAGCGTTTGGACAATATCACGACTATGTACGTTAAGTACAATGAGCGTACACACAAGTGTTCGTTGAAGCTTCGTTAATGATTGCTTCACAAGTTCAACTGTACGAAGAATTTGTCGCTGATGAGATTCATGGTATTGTCCCAGAGATCCTGAATTTATTGCTTGTTCAACTTCGCCAGTCCATACTACCATATCGACAGCTTGAATACATTGGGCGGGATGTTCAAAAAACCACTCTTCACGCACGCGTTGAGGATACGCCTCAACCGTCTTACGCATATGCATAAGCAATGAGGCTTTCATCATCGACTCAATCTGACATAACCATTGTTCCACATTACCAACTGGGTAAACAGTTTTTTCAAACTCCACCTCTTCTCGCTCCCCAGACAACATTCCCACTATCTCCGAGCATCCTTCACCATTAAAAACAAGAGCTGCAATGGAATCAAAACACTTGGATAAGTGAGGCTGTACGGCCTTGGGATTACGCACATCCGACAGAATGGAAAGTAGTTCATCATTTGAAAGAAAGTAAAACCTTGGGAATGCAACCCGTTTTGTCTCTAAATAATCCTCCAGTTTCTTTTGGATATGATCGATGGCTGCGTTGCTATCCTTTATTTCCCCCAGAACATTATTACCTGTGCAAATTTGATATACATTTTTTGCAGCATTTGCCCTCATCGTCAAAGTCCGAAACAGTTCATCTATCGCGGTAAATTGCGCACTTTCCTCCGGAAGTTGGGCCTTAATATCATCCGAGGAAAATATAAACTCCAAATACATCCAATTTTTTTGTAGAGTGATCCACTCATCAATAACATCGTCCACAAGTCGAAGATTGCGAATCCATTCCTCTACGCGTTCCCGGACTGGTGCCACAAAACGAGACGCCATAATAGTTTGAAGCTCAATTTGATGATCATCTAGTTGTTGAATGACATCTTCCAATTGAGTTAAAATAAATACTCCTTCACGGTTCTTGTATGGAATTGTTTCAAAGGAAAGGTCATGCCATGTTTGTTTGATCTTTTCCAAGTCATTAACAATCTTCCACTCGCCTGTGGCATACCCAGACTGTTCTGCAAGAATGTCTTTGTGATCCATGATATTGTACTCTTGGAGTGTTTGGAGATTAAGACCCTCATGAAAGCGATTATCAGAACCAGTTGCGGCCTTCAGCACAATATTCCAGTGTGCAGGGGTCATGTGTTTATTTCCACAATCGTGAATCACTTGCATGCTGTTACGAATTGCCTGAAGCTCCAGGAGAAGGTGTGGTGTTACCTCTTCTTCACATCCTTTTTCTTGGACCTGTCTGTTAATTGCAACGGCCTGTCGAACCATTGCATTGACCTGATCTTCCATGGCACGTGTATCAAGTTCATTCAAAGGACAAGTAAACCATTGCTCTCTATTACGAATAAAATTGTCCAATAGTGTCCAAGTTTCGTAGCGCAAAGAAACAAAGTTTGCCATTTCGTTAAAGGACGACCAGTCAATAGCAGGAGCATCAAATAATTTGGCATAGCGGGTAAATTGTTTTTCTGTTTCCTCTAACTCGGCAATTTTGATCTTAACATCCTCCAAATACTGAATGATGGGCTCTATATTGTCAGTCAATAAGGCAAATTCGTCACCAGATATAATCTGCCGGATGCCAAGGCACTCCTCATCCACACTAGCCACACTCTCTTCCAACGTCCGTGTATGAACAAACAAATTCTCCTCAATAAAGGCTTCCGCCTGAAGTCTTGCCTCATCAAAAACAATCCGAAGCGACATCGATGTACTTCCACTACTTCCCAAAGTTCTCTCTTTGAGCTGCTTATCCTCATCCTCCAAGAATTCAACAAATTGTCGGTCCATTAAATCGCAGAGAGCATCTGCTTGGGCAAGTTTAGTTTCTATTTCAGGTGCCTCATTTACAATGGCCTTGTAATTTGCAACATATTCTGCAAAATCTTGAATTTGAACAGGACGCTCACTAAGTATTTGGCTTTTTTGTTTGAAATAAACCTGTAGTGCAGAAATGGCGTCCCTTGTAATAGAACGAAGTGTGGCATCAATACAATCGCGAATAACCCGCATTCTTGGCTCAATCTCAGTCTTTAATTTGGCAGCATTGATCCACAGCGTATAACCTACGAATGATGCCATCAAGACGCGTAGAGCGTCGTGAGCTTCTTGCAGCTTGATGTACAATTTGCCCAAAGTTGAAGATGAGAGAGGATTTTCTCCAGTTTCCTCTTCCCATTCCGCCAAAATATCACTCCATTCCCTTTCCAAAAAGTGAATATGGGGCAGAGTGATAGAATAGGTCTGCATTTTGGTGTTGGCTTGGGCATAGTCATGACCCACCAATTGTAATATACTCTCTTGAAGAAAAAGCATACGGGCGTCGGCTTCAAGCACCTGACCCATATTCCAGACAGAAGGTATCTTCGAAAAGTAGGCATTCAGATGCTTTTGGTTACATAGACGTACTATCGAACTTGCCACCTCTGTACATCCTGAAATTGTCTCCACACAAACACCACGAATAGATTTCTCACCAGGGTTAAACAGCAATTGAGTTTCTGTAGACTGTAACAAAACCTGAAAACCAATGGATCGTAATTCTTGAGTTCCTTGATTTCGAAGGGTGTTGAACAGTATTTGTACGGATGATAGAGTGGTCCGAAATACCGTTTCAGAAATAATACAATCCACAAGACGAATAAATTCGTCTAGCTGAGAGTATTCCACAATACTGCGCTTTAGCTCACGCATTCTTTTAAACTGCTCTTCTCGAGCATCATGCATGGACTTCATCTTTCGTTGAGAACGAATCGACTTTGTCCCTGACACCATCGCATTAGCAAGTAGATACTGTTCCAAAGCTTCCCTCGTGTTTAGATCAGGAACATCTGCTTTACGTTTCATGGCTTCAATCAGTTTTGTGACATCTGATTCAATGTGATCAATGCATGCACCCAAAATTGTAATAGTCTTTTGTCGTTGTTTCGACTGTTGCACTCTGAACTCTTCAATAGCATAATCATGCTTGCCTTGTGCTTCGTAAAGAATGGGTGAGTGCATAGTAAGTTCATAGGAGCTTTTCAGAATATCTACAATAGGATTACTGAAGGTAGCCTTTGAGAGTAAGAATTCCGTTGAAAGTGATTTCCGAGTCCTTAGAAACTGCTTCGCTCTGTAGTTTTTGTGCCACCGAAGCAAGGCCTTATATACCAGGTAAGTCTTGAAGAAGTGAATCCTACGAAGAACATCAAACAAGGAAGACTCTCTCATCCATTCTGCCAAACTGACAACTTCGGAAGGTTGTCCCGGTCGAACATGTACAACCCCTGTTGCGCTCATAATGTAGTGCTCCCTTTCTTCCACATCCCGCTTTGCCGAACAGACAGAGAGATCATACGGCCTAAATTCTAGCACTTGAGGTGCACGCTCCAAGTAAACATATTTCACCTGGCTACCTGAGCCATATGCAGCAAAGAAGGCGATACAATCTTCATCTGTTTTCAAATTACGAAGGGCATTTTCATCATTTGGAGCCACACGATCAATAGACTTTTTTACGGGCGGTCGAATAGCCTTTTGGATCATTCTTAGGATATCACTATCTTTCTCCTCTAATTGAGAATCCCATAGTGACAATGCCGTCAACACGGAACCCATCTTACAAGACTCCACAGAAGAAACAAATTCTCGTGGAGGCGACCGCATCATTTGTTCACCTTTTCGCTTAATTCTTTTCGAAGCTGGCAACGCTTTGTGTCGCAGCTCATATATGGACTTCTCGGGCTTCTGGAAACTATAGAGACGAGTAGGACTAGCTGTTCGAGAAAGCTCCAACTCGATCTTTGCATCAAGATGACTTTTAGGTTTATGATCATTCTCATTCACAATTTTTTGCAGGGATTGCAAAAAATCTGCGCTGTTTTTCCTCTTTGTAAGCATCCTTTCCAGTAGCAATTCCTTAAAGAGGGGGGAGGAAAAAGAACGCAAGAAGCAATAGTACAAAAGTAAAAAAAAAAAAAAAGAGCAAGAGAAAGGCGTTGTCTCTATGGCATACAGGGTTCCCGTTCTTCACCAGAAGCAAGGAAAAAAAAAATTCAATAACAAAAAAACCACATACTAACGCACGCGCGGGAAAAAAAAAAAAAACCCAAGACAATATAGAAAATAATACCTAACAACAACACCAAAAAAAAAAAAAAAAAAAAGGGGCAACAATCAAGAAGCTATTAATTGATTCAGTATGCACTAAATTACTGTTTCTTTCCTTTCCATCTTTAGGCACTACTCAGAGGCATTTCTTAGGACCAAACTTTGATATCTTCCAAGCTCTTTGGAAATGCGTAGAATCCCCCGTTGGGTTTACCATTTTCATCGTAAGGTCTTCCATAGTTTTGAAGCTTTTCCTTTTCCTCAGCAAAGGCAATATTCTCATCAATATAGGAAATAGCCTCGGAGAATGACTTAAACAAAAGTTTCCCCCTCTTGGATTCATCATTTTCAGTGAGGCGATATACCCCATGAAACTTGTCTTCAGTCCAATTACCAAACCGATTTTGCACTTCTCTGACACGCGAGATGAATTTCTCATGCTCGCTTTCGTATGAAAGACCACACTCCTTATCCAAAGTATCAATCAATTCATCAATGGGAATGGTGAGAAGAGAATGATACGTTGCTAGTGGCTTAGCTCTTTCAGTAAGATCTCCGAGACATTTTTCAACATAGCTCAAAGGGAAAAATCGTTTGGGAGTAAAGTGTTGACCCCTGGCAAACATGAAATATTGGTGAGGAAGCAACGGTGGCACAATATACTGTAGGTGTAATTGGTTCTGCGAAGGCGGAAAATTAAAACCAAGGAGAGTGTGCTCTGCCTCCACCAGTTCCGAGACACGCAAAATAGATGATTTCCATTCAGGATCGGCAAGAAATTGTTCTCTGAACGTCTTGTGGGATGCGTCCACAAGGCTTTGGACGATATCAAGCCCCTCTTTTGGGGAACAAAGGAGATAGCGCCAATCCGGTATAAAGTTGGTCGTAGGAATAGCACAAAAATGTACTGGCGAGAGAGCAAGCGGATCATCAAATACAAGACAAGACTCCGTTTCGTACCGAATAGAAATCTGGAGAGGAAACTCGCCACTATTTTCTATACCAAGCATAAAAGCGCTAAACAGGTTGGGCGTTTCCGTTACCGGCACTGCATCCAGAGAGGCATTGCATCGATTGCACACTGAAAGGCTCACGGCACATGGCTTCTTGCAGATCTGGCACCGCCTTACATTGCTAAAAAGCACCTCGCGAGCGCGCTTCCCCCCTTTATGGGTAAAAAAGTCCGAGACGCTTCCTCTTACCAGCGGCGACTTGTTTACAACGCGGATCGGGGTGTTTTTAAAGACACCCGACTTCGGCCTCCCAAAAAACCAGTTTTCACCAGCGCCAGCCATTCGGGACCTTTGGATCGCGCAGAGAAAAGGAAAAAGAAGGGAGCAAAGCGGTGGCAAACAAAAACGAACAAATAAATATCTGCGTGGCCAAAATGGTGGTCTTGGCGGGGCGCGGGTCGGGGCGGCGCTCGCTCCCGCGTCCGCGTCCGTCGGGTTTTGCTTCGCGTCGCCCCCGGCGGAGGCGCGCTTCCGAGCGTATCCGGGCGTTTTCTTTTTGTCGGGGCATCTCTGCGTGTGGCTGCGTTTCTCGTGGCTGTTTTTTTATTATTATTCTGGTGCGTTTGTGCGGCAGCTCTGCTTCGTTAAGGGTTGTGCATGTCGAAGCGGTGTTGGTATATATATATTATTTTTGATGCACGCATGTGTTTATGCGAATGTCTGGCCTGGATTTTTTTTGAGGGGTTTTCTTTTGCTCGCCTTAGTTCTTAATCGCGTCTTTATTATTATTATTATTATTATTATTATTATTATTATTATTATTATTATTATTATTATTTTTTGCGTGTGTACAATTTCTCGTTTCACACTCTTTTTTCTAATGAATTTATTATTGTTATTTATATACACAGTAATAATGTCTCGTCGAAAGCCCAATCTGACGTTGTCCACTCCAGAGACTACGCTGCAAGTTTTGGATATGGGGTTGGACTTCCGTTCCTATTTATCGCGTGTAGACGATAGTGGCATACCTGTTCTTGGAAACGTCATATCATATGAGGCCAGCAAGATACCCGATGTTTTTGAGCCTACAGTGGGACTGCTTGTAACGATTTTGCACATGTATACACAAAGCACTTCCACTGCCTCTGCTTTTGTTTGGCTCAAAACTTACGAATCCATTCAAAAGGTGTACTTAGATCATGTAGATCAAGAAAATAATGAGACCGCAAGATATGCTACTGAGGCGCGTTTGGCTATATTGAGCCATTTATCAGGTGGTATGGTGACTGACGGTAGTGGTCTTTACGAAAAACTACTACTTCTTCTTGATCAACAAAGTGGTATTCGTGGTGCACAGGCACCATCTCAAAGAAAAGTTCCGCGAGAACCAAAGGGTGCGTTCTGTAACCTTCATTTAGCAGATCAAAAATGTTATCAGGATTTTGCCTGCAATCAGTTACATCTTCATGAAGCAGGCCCTGTCAGGCATCGAATAAATTTTTTTATGAGACTTATTGAGGTTTTAAAGGCTGAAAAAAGATCCAAGATGCAAATACTTCACCGAATAAAGGATTCTATTTTTTTTGCCCGCTATGGAAATAAAGTAACAGTTCAATGTCATGGTAAGTGGATCCCTTTTTTCAAGACTGTCTATACGGATGGAAGGCTTGAGCAGGCATTTCGAATGCAACAGTTTTCTTGTAACAATAATGGGTGTTCCGATGAGCACTGTAAAGGGATACACGCTCAGGAACGCCGTGTGGTCTCTTCGAGCAGGCAGGTGGATCTTCATAATCCTCAGGCCCTAGCTATCCAGGTCGAGGATGAAGGACAACACCTTCTTTCATTGGCTGGTGTCTACAAAAATCAAGTATCAGAACCACCTCCTTCACTTTCTCTTTCCTCTCCCATGGTGACCATTGCTTCCCCAACTTCTGAGCTTTGGAGAAGCACGGTTCGGGAATATGTTCGTCAAACAGGAATACCGCAGCTACAGGCCGACGAATCACTGCTTAGAACATTACAAGATGCAAATGTTGTTGGAACACCTGCTGCTTCAACGGAGAGTTTAACACCTTTATTGGATGAACTCGAACTGCACGCATTTAATTCTAATACATCACCGCGGAATGAGTCCTGACCATACGAGGGGGTCTTTTTTAAACTCGAATGTAGTGGCTGGTAATATTTTTACGGAGCCGATGATGTGAAAAAAAGAAAAAAATAGCGAAAAGCGGCATTTTGATTCCATTGTTGAGATGAAACGTGTTAGAACGAAAACAGCGAAAAAAAAAAAAAAAAAGAAAAAGAAAAGGAAAATGCGTAAAAAGCTGCACGAATGAAGAAAGGAAAATTCAAAACTGGAAGATCAACGAGAAAAGAAGAAAAATATATATGAGAATTTGATGAAAAATTGAAAAACTGAGAAAAAAAGGAAAGAGTGATGTGGATGTGCTCAGCAATTATCGTTCTTTCTGGGGAACCCAGAAATGGTAAATTACAGTTATATCCGGGGCTTGATTTTACGATTGTTAATCGTCAGGCTCCTTTTTTTTCTTTTATAACGAACTACTTTTTCCCCTTCCAAAAAAAGTAAACTATTTATGCGAATATGGCTTTTTTTTTTTTTTTTTACTTTTTCTGGCGTGATTACGGCATTTTTTTTTCTTTTGCTTCACTTTGTTTTTGATTTGCTTGATTATTTATTTATTTTGCCACAAGAATTGACCAGATATACTTAACGAAAAAAAGGAATCAAAGTAAGGAAATTAAAAAAAACGGAATTACCAAGATTATTAAAAAAAAAAAAAAAAAAAAAAAAAAAGCATGTTACCATACATATTCTTTTTTTCATTGGTGATAACTGGATGTTCGGCTTTAGAGCCTTCATATGGTGTTCAGGATGGTTTTTTGGAGTATTTTGCCGCGGTCCATCCAGAGAAGCCTTTTAATTGTTTATGCGGCAATGTGTCCATTATGGGTCATCAGGTTAACGATGATTATTGTGATTGCCCAGATGGAAGCGATGAGCCGGGGACATCGGCATGTACGAATGACAGGTTGGAGGTTAATTTACCTAAAAAATGGAAATTCAGGTGCAAAAACATTGGGTTTAAACAACAAGAAATTCCACATAATCAGATCAATGATGGATTATGTGATTGCTGTGACGGTTCTGATGAGTATTCTGATATTATTGCGTGCCCCAATGTATGCGCTGAGACCCAGGAAATTGAGGAAAAGAAACGTTTGGAGAATGAACGGGTCAGAGAAGCAGGAATGCGTGAGAAGGAAAAAATGATGGAGCAGGTGAGGAAAAATCGTGAAGATGACAAGGTCCAACTCGAGAATGAAATCATGGAATTGGAAAGAGTAAGGAAATCCATTGAAGAAAAATCTGTGAAGCTTGTTCCATTTGAAGAAAAAAAAGGGCAGAGAAAAGGCGCTACTT